CCATTAAAGACACACATAGACTGAAAGTGAAGAAATGGAAAAAGATATACCACACAAAGGAAAAGCAAAAAAGAGCAGGAGTCACTATGCTTACATCAGATAAAATAGACTTCAAGTCAAAGAATGTAAAAAGAGACAAAGAAGGTCACTAGAGGGCTAGGTGTAGTGGCTCAACCTCTATCCCAGCACTTTGGGAGGCTGAGTGGGCAAATCACTTGAAGTCAGGAGTTCAAGACCAGCCTGGCCAACAGTAAAACCCCATGTCTACTAAAAATACAAAAGTTAGCTGGGCTTGTGCCGGATACCTGTAATCCCAGCTACTAAGGAGACTGAGACATGAGACTCACTTGAGCCCAGGAGATGGAGGTTTCAGTGAGCTGAGTTCGTGTCACTGTGCTCCAACCTGAGCAGCAGAGTGAGACCCTGCCACACACACAGGCACACAAAAATACACACAGACTGAGAATGTGGAAGAGGTGAGAGGGGTGAAGAAAGACATTCCATGCTAATAGAAACCAAGAGAGTGTAGGGAAAGTCATACTTGCATCAGATAAAATAGACTTTAAGTCAGAAACTGTAAAAAGAGACAAAGATCATTATAAAATGATAGGTCAATTCATCAAGAGGATATAATAACCACATATGCACACAATGTCAGAATACACACACACACACACACACACACACACACACACACACACACACAGGCTTAGGAGTCCAACTGCATGACCCCTAAACCATAATTCCTAATCTTGTAGCTAGTTGTTAGTCCCGCAGAGGCAGTCTAGTCCCCAGGCAAGAAGGGAGTTTATTCTGGGAAAGGGCTGTTACCGTCTTTGCTCAAAGTTAAACTATAAACTCAGTTCCTCCCAAAGTCAGTTTGGCCTATGCCCAGGAAAGAACAAGGACAGTTTGGAAGTTAGAAGCAAGATGGAGTCAGTTAGGTCAGATTTCTTTCATCCTCATAATTTTCTCAGTTATAATTTTTGCAAAGGTGATTTCAATAACATCATATCATAAATACAACATGGTGACTGTGATTAATATATTACATACTTGAATATTGCAAAGAGAGTAGATTTTAAGTGTTCTTACCACAAAAAACAAGTGTGCAAGGTAATGAATATGTTAATTAGCTTGATTTAGCCATTCCACAATGCATATACGTATTTCAAAACACCTTATTGTCCACGATAAATATATACTATCTTTATTTGTCAATTATAAGTAAGTTAAATATTTTTAAAGTATAAAAAAGAAAGAATGCAAAATAGCATTTTAATGCTACCTATGAGGAATCAAACTTCTTAACTACAAGCAAAACAATATAATGTGGCAAGTGGATGCATTTCAATAGACAAAAAAAAAAATCTTTCTGTTCACAGGGCATGGTAAAGCAAATATTAAGAAAACGCCAAGAACTTAATTTCAATCCAATCATAAGAAAACAGCAGACAAATTCAAATTGAAAGACATTTTACAAAACACCTTGAGTACTCTTCAAAGTATCATGGTCATAAGAGACAAAGAAAGACTGAGGAACAATAGCATTTCATGTAGACAGGACAACTAAATGCAATGTGAGATCCTGGATTCAATCCTAAACCTGAAAAAGGACATTAGTGGGAAAACTAGCAAAACTCAACATGCAGAAAAATGTTAACTCAGCAATATTTCAAACCCTACATAGTCCAGAGAACGGACTGGTCCGTTGACAGCTCCTGAGCGAGAACCTCTATGCCCTTGGAATATCCTGCCTGAAAACAGAATCTTTGTATACCTGGGCCCTTGGTCCATGCCAGGCAATTTATACTAATAATGTGATTCTGAGTGGGTCCTTGGGCCATAGTCTATCAGTTTCACATCTGGAGGCGATGGAGACTGAGTAACTAAGGTCAGCCACACCAGCATCCCATGGCTCTGTGATGACTGCACTCTGAACACCAAAGTGTTACTGGATGGTGCCATGCAGCTCCAGGCTCTCGGTGTCCCAAACAAGAAAACTGGACCAGGCCAGGCATGGTGGCTCACGCCTGTAATCCCAGCACTTTTGGAGGTCAAGGCGGGCAGATCGTCTGAGGTCAGGAGTTCGAGACCAGCCTGACCAGCATGGTGAAACCCTGTCTCTACTAAAAGTACAAAATGTAGCCAGGTATGGTGGCACATGCCTGTAATCCCAGCTACTCAGGAGGCTGAGGCAGGAAAATCACTTGAACCCAGGAGGCAGAGGTTGCAGTTAGCCAGGATCACACCACTGTACTCCAGCCTGGGCTCTGTCTCAAAAACAAACAAACAAAAAAACTGGACGTGACACACACGTGGCAAAGCCAGCAGCAAAATTTATTAAGCACAGCATTATATTCTCAGAGGGGAGAGTGGGCTGACCTCTGCAAGATGAGATCAGCATCAGTTTAATGTACTTGTGGTCTTTTTATGTGGGTTTTTTCCTCCTTCTTTTCCCAAGGCTGCCTAATCTCTAGCCAGTGTCTGCCTTTTGATTGATAGGTGTGTTGCTTAGTTACTTTGGCCCTTGTGCACTTGCGCATTACCTCTATCCCATAATCTCAACCACATGCATGATATGCAATTCATATGCACGAGCTTTAATGAGCTGATTATCATCTGGGGTCATGCTAAGGAGACTTTTTCTCTCTAATGCGCATGCCCATCTCTGCGAGCTGTTCCCCCGCCCCTTACTGGTTTGGTCAGCATCTGGCTGGCCATGGGGTCTCTTTACTCACATTGTTATCTTACTTTTGATTTGGCTGCTTAACTTCTGCTTCTTTTCTTGCTTCTTGCTCACTCGCCCTTCACCTTGCTTCTGCTTTCACTCATTCCGCCCTTTATCCAACTTTCAATTCCCTCTGCTGTTCTCCTGCCACAAAAGTGCACTTCCCTGGTTGTCAATACTTCGTGCGTATTGTACTCATCATTGCTGGGAGAATTCAGTGCTGTCCATAGAACACCACTGCGGGAAGACACCTAGAAGCTCAGTCCATTCTCTCTGAGACATCACACTATATACCTTTTCCTTCTACTGATTTTAATCTGTAAACTTTTGCTGTAATAAACTGTACTCATGAGTACTACAGTTTGTTCTTGTTTGTTCTAGAGGCAAGGTCTCACTCTGTCACCCAGGCTAGAGTATAGTGGCTCCATCACAGCTCACTGCAGCCTCAAACTCCTGGGCCCAAGCAATCCTTACACCTCATCCTCCCAAGTAGTTAGACCTACAGGCACACACCACTGCACCTGGCTAATTTTTACATGTATTTTTGGGGAGAGAGAGGGTCTTGCTATGTTGCCCAGGCTGGTCTCACACTCCTGGCCTCAAGTATCCTCCCACATCAGCCCCCCAAAGCATTGGGACTACAGGCATGAGCCACCCTGCCTGGCTCAGTATAACAGTTTCTAAGTTCTGAGAGTCTTCCTAGAAAATCACGGGACCTGAGGTTGATCTTGGAGAACTTCTGACACACTCAAATAAGTTCTGAAGATTAGCTAACAATATTGCAGCAATGTTAATGTCTTGGTTTCTTAATCATACCTTAGAAGAAGCTGAGTGAAGGATATACAAGAACTGTGTGTAACCTTCTGAAAGTCTAAAGTTATTTCAAAATAAAAAGTTAAAAATAAAGAACAAGGAGATATGCGTGATCATTGTTACTGCTGGGTATTAGGCATGTGTGGATTCAGTATATTTTTCTCTCCACTTTTGTATAAGTTTGAAATATTTTGTAATTTAAAAAGCCTTTTAGGCTAGAGAATTCAAGAGTTCAGTGCAACAACTCAAAATGATCACATCCAAAACATACAGAACAGGGTCAGCTTCAAAGTGGATGAAAAAAAACATTTAAACATAGAGAGATTATTTAAAAGCCTTGCTCCAAGGGCCACTGAGCAAGGCTTTCTTCACCGGGCACCTCCTGCGATCCAGGCCTTTCTCTATGGCAGAGAGAAACTAACTCATTGCCATGGTCAGTGATAGTGTAACTCCTTGGCAGCGGCGAATCCATTTGGAAGTGAGAACTTTCACCTCCAAACAGTGAGGCCAAGGCCACCTTCCCTGAAACCAGTGCCCATGGCAATGAGAACTGCCAGGAAGCTGAGCCCCACAGCTCCAGGAGGATCTATGAGGTGATAAGTCTCAAAGCTTGGGCCACAGATCCTGCCTCCTCCTGCAGACACAAGCTAGACACTACCTTGGGGTGCTGTGAGGTTCCTTATTGAGCAAATAGCTCGCATTACAGGGAAGGCCAAGGCCTAGAAAGGGAGGACACCTGCTCAGAGTCAACACGGCTCAGAAGTCCTGCCAGAACAGGAGCCTCCCACTGGCCTCCTGATTTCTTTCCTAATCTTACACAAATGTGTTACCTAATCTATTTACGGTGCAAACCTGAGCAAAGTGACATCACCTCCCTGAGCTTGTTTCCTTACCTGCAAATGACTTCCCAAGGTGGTTATGCAGAGAGCCTCTCATCCCTCTCACTAAGACCGGCTCCCATCTGGATCCCACACACTGCAGATGGATGCTCCACAAATATTTGTTTCTACGGAATGTCAGGGGATGCTAAGCATAAGACAAGCCACATGTTAGAGCAGAAACATGGGGAGAGAGGAAAATCATACACCTTACAGAGCAACCCTTTCATGTAAGGACCTTCTGAAGGGATCCTATTAAGCTCGTGTGATATTAACAGCTTGAGTCCCTGAAGGGCACACAATGAAAGATCAGCAAAGACCGGGGTATCACTTTGGAAACACTGCTGGGGTACACAGTTTTGGGCACAAGTCGTAACACGGGAATCCCTGGCTTTGAGATGGAAGGGCCCCACACACAGCAGTCCTCGGGGCAGCCCCAGCCCTGGCGCGGAGGTCACACCCATGCAGGAAGAGAGGGAGGACGGAGACTAGCTCAGCAAGCCGACAGGCAGAGCGCGGGCCAAACAGGGCTCTCAGCTTCTTCGTTCCAGCCCCTCTGTGGGAGGAGAGAAGGGCAGGACCACAAGCCTGCCAGAGGCTGCGCTGCGGCCTGCAGTCAGGCGGAAAGGCCAACCTAACACAGGACAGAGGGGAGCCAGGTGAGCCAGGCTGCGGGGCGGGGACGGACCGGGAGACCCCAGAGGACGCTGCGCCCTCGCGATGACCTTGTCCGCAGCTCCGAGGGACCCTGGGCAAGTCTTCCTTTACTGGGCACCTCCTGCAAACCAGGCCCTGCCCTAAGTGTCAAGGTTACAGCGTGGCGGTGACAAAGATCACGGCCCTCTTGCAGTTTCCGTGTTAGCAGCGGGAAGACAGAAGTAAACAAAAACATACGAAATGAGTAAACGACCTCGAGTGTCAGAAGGGGGTAACTGAAACGAGAAAAAGGAGGGCAGAGTGAGGAGGAGAGGGAACGCTGGGGAGGGGGCTTGGGGTTTTAAAGAGGGTGGCCTCTTTCAGGTTAAATGAGGCTCAATGCAAAGAGCCATAGTGATTTGAAGAAACGGGGTTCTGCGCAAGGGGAGCAGCCCCAGCAAAAGCTGGCAGTGGCAGGGAGGCCTGGGGCATTCAGAACAGCAAGGAGGCGGGGGTAGCGGCGCCAGGAGAGGTCAGGCGGGTGGAGAAGAGCCGCGCTGGACTCGGGGGGCCAAGGTTGGGGGCCCCTTGCCAGCACCCCCGCAGCCTGCTAGGGGTATTGGTCTGAAAGCCTGCGTATAAATCTCACTTGTTACATGTGGCTGCATGATCTTATAAAGTCTCCTCCCTTTCCAAGACCCACGTCCTCTCCATAAAACGGTAATAACAGGAGGGCATCTGTCAGGTTGAGGTGAGGAAGGAAGGGGATGAAGAGCATGGCAGCCTGCGGGAAAGAAGCACAGAATGCGGCCGCGAGCTAGGGAACGCAGAGCTGGCCTCCCAGGCCTTGTAGGAGGAACATGTAAGCACGTAAGAACTTGTTCCTGACACTAAGAACACCCAGGGGGCCATGGAGCTGGACCTGGACCTTGCTGAGAGCTGGCAGCAGGGGCAAAGGGCGGGAAGAGAGAGGAGAGGCCCGCGGTGAGGGCGGTAAGTTGTCACAGGAGAGAGGCGAGTGGAGTGGGAGGCCGGTAGACACAGCAAGGACCCCATTCCACAAACAGCGGCCCGAGGAGCAGACTCCAAGTGCGAGGGGAAAACAGTGTGATTTGCAAGATTTCACCTGGCAGCTGGGAGAACAGACAAGAGGGCCACTGAGGCCAAGTAAGAGATGACAGTGGCCTGGGTGCTAGCCGAGGAGACAGCAAGAGCAGATAGACCCTAGAGACTCGTGGAACAGGATGGACCGCAGCTCGCAGGTTGCCTCACTGTGGAGGAATGGCTGCTTCTCAGAGGCTGGGCATTTGCTGTGAAGGAGGCAGGGCCTGCCCTGGCTGTGAAAGACACAGGTGTTCACAAGCAGGGAGCAGGCTTCCACCCTCAGTTCCACAAAACACTTGCAGGGCTCATAGAAATGGGGCTGAATGATCCTAGAACTTACGAGCAGCTGAATGATACCGAGGCACTCCCAGTCATTCTCCATAGTGGAGCTGCAGTGTAGACAAAGCGTGTGCTTTGTGGTGAGACCCCATCCGAACTCCTGGCCATCCCCAGCTGCGTGGCTAGGGGCCACTCAACCTCTCCAGGATTGTTTTCTTCAGGTGTAACCTTCACAGACTTTTTGTGAAGACTGCCCAAGGCAATGCAGGTAACACAAATTGCAGTGGATAGAGCCTAATCTTTGGGGTCAGGCCCTGTCCAATCTTGGCTAACAAGTATTGAACAAACAGGTACCAAGCAATGACTGCATACCATGCCTACCATGCACACAGTGCCTGATCCACAGCCAGCGTCCACAGGGCAAGTGTGGAAGTGGAGTGGCATTCAAGTACTTAGGGATGTCTTTCTTCTACCAACCAGCCCTGGCTAACGCCCAGCCCTAGGCCGTTCCTCTCACACACAGGTTTTTTGCACTGCCCAAGCTCAGAGCAGACCCTCGGAGCAGCCGGGTCAGAAGTGTCTCTCCTCAGTCTCCAGACAGATCCAGGATAGGATGGGCAGCCCAGTGCACCGAGTATCATTGGGGGACACCTGGAGCAGACAAATGCACCCCGACATAGAGAGCGAGAGGCATATACAGTCCTTTGACGTGGAACGGCTCACCAACATCCTTGATGGAGGTGCCCAGAACACTGAGCTCCGGAGGAAAGTTGGTAAGGGGAAGCTGGGGAATGGGACATCTGCTTTATGCCCCAGGCTTCTCTAGTAAGAGTCCTTTATTAGCAGTCCTGCCTCCAAATAACAAATTTTGCCCTTGAAATTCCACTGTTAGAGATTCATTCCTTTGAACTGTAAAGACAATCTTTACATGCCAACATTGCCTGAGCCCACCTGAGGGATAGAAGAGTCCTAGGCGGCAGAGAACCTGGATTCTGGTCCTAAAATTCTGCCACTGCATAGCTTTGTAACCTTGGGCAATTCACTTTCCCACCTCTGGTCCTCAGTTTTGTCATCTGTAAAATAACAATAACGTCTGATTTACTTTCCAGATCCATGAGGCAAGAGGGTGAGAAGATTTGAGGGTGTCAGAAAGCTCACCCCAGGTCCCTAAGCCTTCTGTTCTCTGTCCTCTGTAGAGAGCATCATCCACAGTTATCCAGAGTTTAGCCGTAAGGACGATTATTTCATGACCCAGAATGAGCGTTATAAGGCTGCCATGCGGAGGGCATTCCACATCCGATTGATAGCACAGCGCCTGGGTTGGTTGGCAGATGGTCGTGAATTAGGCTATGCTTACAGGTACTCACTCTGGGGCAGCTCCACTAGAGAGGGATATACCTGGGATCGCCTGGAAACCCCCCAGCCCCATGAGCCATTTTTTCCAACAAAGGGAAGTCTTACTAGGAAACGGAAGTGTCCCTTATCTCCCTTCCTCTGCTCAGGCAGTGTGTACCTGGGCCCCTGTCTCCAATAGGCTACTCAGCTACAGCATCTCTCCCCAACAGAGCCCTTTCTGGAGATGTGGCCTTAAATATACACGGAGTCTTCCAGAAAGCCCTCAGGAGTCTGGGCACAGAGGAGCAGATTGCCAAATGGGACCCACTCTGCAAAAACATCCAGATCATCGCAACATATGCTCAGACCGAGTTGGGACATGGTGAGCCAGGACTGCTGCATGTGGTGTGTAGGTTGTGCACTGCAAAACTCCAGAGGGCCCATTCACATCTCAGTAGCCATAAGTTCGTATGCTCCGAGGGACATCTGTTTCCTATGAAAACATTTCAGCAGATGGCAGTCAAGGGGCTTGAGGAAGGGGTGCCGCCTTCTAATTTGCACATATTGTATGAGCTGCCTGTGGGGCAAGTCATTCCTTCCGGAAACATCAGCACCCATCCCTTGTCATAGACTGGCTAGAGGGGACTGTGTGTCCCCCACACAGCCCGCAGATGAAAGGGGAGAACTGCCTGTAAGTACAGCTGGGAGCTGAGCCCCACTCCATACTTTGCTGATGCCTAGATTCAGGCCCACCTACAAGCAGCTTCCCAGGTAAGAAGCTCACCGGGAGCCAATGTCTAACACCCCTCCTTGATCCTAAGGGACCTACCTTCAGGGTCTGGAGACTGAAGCCACCTATGACGCAGCCACCCAGGAGTTTGTGATACACAGCCCCACGCTGACTGCCACCAAGTGGTGGCCTGGAGACTGTGAGTATCCATCCACCCCCCTTCCTTATCTCTCCCCAAGTAGAGCAATGTTGAGGGTAGAATAGCACTGGCTTTGAGGTCCAGCAGCCCTCAGATTGATTTTCTGTTCTAAGCTGCTGACCTTGGGCAAGTCAGTTCACCTCCCTGAGCCTCATGTTCTTACTCTGTAAAATAGGTGGGATATTAAACATTTCATTAGTGAGTGGCTGGAAAGTCCTAAAAGAACTTTGAAGTAGAGGAGGCAATCGACCCATGAGAGACAAGGCCTCACACACTCACACACACACACACACACACACACTGGGTCTAGTCCCAGGCACTCCCCACAACCCCAGTTCCTCTCATCTCCCGAGTTAGGGGAAGAACTTACCACCAGCCAGAGCACAAGCCCTATGATGACACAGTGAGAAGAACACGCCTCCCTGCGCCTGGGCAGACATCCAGGAAGGCTCAGGCCCACCACCAGCACCAATCAGGCCACCAACGCTGTACCTCCCATCATGACCACCAGGTGGCGGCCACATCAAGCGTCCCTGAGGCTTGGTGATTTACCAAGCCCCAAGAAGGGGTTCTCCTTCAAACTTGAAAATTTACCTCTGAGGACACATCTGTGGCACTGGAGACCCACACCTTGTGTTGAAAAAAATTAAAACAAATATGAGGAGTCCAACTAAAACAGGAGAGTAACAGAGATGAGAGACACAGAGAGAGTGAGACAGGCAGAGAGCAGAGACATAAGAGAGAGACACGAGCCAGGAGTGGTGGCTCACACCTGTAATCCCAGCATTTTGAGAGGCCGATGCAGGTGGATCACTTGAGGCCAGGAGTTTGAGACCAGCCTGGCCAACATGGTGAAACCCTGTCTTTACTAAAAATATAAAAATCAGCCAAGCATGATGGTGCACACCTGTAATCCCAGCTACTTAGGAGGCTGAGGCATGATAACTGGTTGAACCTGGAAGGCAGAGGTTGCAGTGAGCCAAGATCACACCACTGCACTCCAGCCTGGGCCACCAAATGAATCTCTGTCTCAAAAAACAAAACAAAACAAAACAAAACAAAACACGAGAGAGATGAGAGAAAACAAGGTAGAAAATGAATGACCACTGTCAAAAAATGAAGACAAAAGAAACCAGCCTTTAAGATCAGACAGACCAGGGTACAGATGAATCAGCTCTGCCCCTCCAGGCCAGTGAACTTCAGTGTGTCACTCTACTCTCTGAGCCTGTTTCCTTATCTGGAAAATGGGACTCATCATCATCCCTCCCCTGCAAGAACTGGAAAGCATCTATCACAGGGTCTAGTGCCATCTGGATTTTGATCAATGATAATTATCCATATTCACTATTGTAAAGTTGATGGGAGTAATTCATTAATAGTTGGGGGGTGGGGAAGGGGAAAGGCAGATCATTTCACAGTGCCTTTTGCGGAGTCGCTGCTAGGTTTGCTTGGTTCTTTGGGGGCAATTTCCCCTGTCCATGATCAGTGACTTTTCAGGGCCCCAGAGGTACCCATCCAAAACCCCAGCCCCAGGAAGCTGGGCGGGAAAAGCAATGCACAGGTCTTCCTGTGATGGGCCTCTCCTCTTTCCGCCCTCAGTGGGACGGTCAGCCACCCACGCCCTGGTCCAGGCCCAGCTGATCTGCTCAGGAGCCCGGCGGGGCATGCACGCTTTTATTGTGCCTATCCGGAGTCTTCAGGACCACGCCCCGCTGCCAGGTAAGCCCATAGTGCTCCCTCAAGGACTCCTACCAGGAGGAGACCCCCTGTGGCCTCCCTGGACTGGGGCCCCAGAGGGCCACAGGAGAAGCTGGGACATGTCTCCCTTGGGCAGGGAGGGGTCCAGTTGGACAGACTTGGTGCCAACTGGCTAGGTGACCTTGAGCATCTGATTCAGCATCTGTCTGACCTCAGCTTGTTCACCTGCAAAACAGGTACGATAACCCCAGTGTCACAGGCTGCTATGAGCTGGAATGTGCATGTGATACCCTGGCACATAGCAAGCACTCCCTCAACTGATAGGTGTCTTCATCTCCATCTCCTTCAAGGAATCACCGTTGGGGACATCGGGCCCAAGATGGACTTTGATCAAACAGACAATGGCTTTCTGCAGCTGAACCATGTGCGAGTCCCCAGGGAGAACATGCTGAGTCGCTTTGCACAGGTTGGGGGGCTGGGAAGGCCGGGGGTTTGTACTTCCTGGAGAGGGGACCTGTGCTTTGTGCAGGCTGGGTCTAGGTCCTCCATAGAGCTGAGCTGGGACCACATAACCCCTTCCCCCAAGAGAGGCTCTGACATCCCACAGACTGGGGTGAAACCCCAGCTCAGAAGCAGTATGATCTTGGCCACAGAGCCTCAGACTTCTCATGCAGAAATGCTCATCACATGGGTCGACGGAGCAATCACGGCGTTGGGTGGCAGCCCCAGGAGAGGACAGAACTGAGGTGACCTGCATATTTACCCACAGTGAGGCCTAAACACACACCAGCCAGAGTGCCAGCAGGAGTTCTGAAGGTCCCAATTCTGCCAGGCATCACCCTTTTAGTTATGGGTTGTGGGGAGGTCCAGGGTGTCCCAGGAGAGGCGCTGTGAACCAGGGCACTTGGGAAAGTGGCCTGGTATTTGAACATTCCAACTCCACATGAGCGGGTTGAGGGTGAGATGCCCTCCATGTGTGGAGCCCCACAGCCCTGGGAAGTGGGGAGAATCCTGGGGAGCCTGGGCTCAGACCCTGTGCCCCTCCTTGTTCCAACAGGTCTTGCCAGATGGCACCTATGTCAAACTCGGAACAGCACAGAGCAACTACCTTCCCATGGTGGTGGTGCGGGTAGAGCTGCTGCTGGGGGAGATCCTCCCTCTACTACAGAAGGCCTGTGTCATCGCCACGCGCTACTCTGTCATCCGCCGCCAATCCCAACTCCGGCCCAGGCAAGGGGTGCCCAGTGGTTGACCACCGCAGACATGCCACCTCACAGTCCCACAGTGCCTTCCCCTGACCCCACCTTTCTGCCAGAGCCAGAGTGCTGGAGGAAGGCACTGCCCCCACCAACACACACACACACAAAATCTGCCCAGGCCTGGTCCCATGTGGCCATGTCAGAGGAGCCTCTCTGGCTCCCTCTATCAGGACTGACCAGCCGGCCTGACCTTCGTCCCCAGTGCCTGGCCTCCTCGGGCTCTATGTGACTGTGTCTTTGGCCCTGTAGTACCAGGTCTGTCTAACCCCGTGCCTGTCTGAGTCCAGCTGTGTGCTGTGTGGCTACGACGGGCTGGGCGGGTCTGGGTCAGCCAGTTGCCAGCTGCGTCAGACTCTGGCTGGCTGAGTTGATTCTGTCAGGCCGAGCCTAGCAAAACCCAATGTCCTACTGACTGTGTGTGGCTGCACTCCTTCTGCCTGGCTGTGCTGTCAGCATCTGACTGTGGTGTGTCTACGTCTGGATCCCATTTGTTGCAATTGGTTGTGTTGCTACCACTCCCTCCACCCCACAGCACAGAACAGCAAGGCCGACTGAACCCTCTGTGCACACTCAGCTCGGCCACTTCACTTCATCTCTCAAATTCCTCAGCTACAAAAGGGGCGGGCAGAAGCGGCCTTCCCGGGGGGTGGAGGGTGAGATGTAGTAAGGTGCACTAGGCCCTCAGCCCAGGGTCCTTTCCTATGGCAAGCCCATAGCGTCCTCGGTCGGCCTGGGCTTCAGGATCCAGCCTGGGAGTGTTCTCTGGAGGATGGGGCCACTGGGAAGAAGGGGCTGCGGTTGCTGTCCTGCCCACAGCCCATTTATCTGGGCTGCAGAAGTGTCCCCAGGGAGGTTATAAGAAGGATGCATCAGGTGAGCAGCAGCTGCCCAGAGAGGAGGGCTCTTGTAATCACATGCTCTTTCAATCCCGTTACTGCGAGCTCCTGATTGCTGGACACAGTCTCGGGCACTGAGGACATGGCAGTGGATAAGGCAGACACACTCCCACCCTCTTCCCAATCCTGGAGACGCTGGCCAGATCAGGTTTTCCTTTCCTTGGGGTTCCATCAGACCCGAGTTTACACTTAAGAGTTACTGTTCAGTCTTGACATAGTCCTCAGCACACGGCAAGTGCACAAGGGCGGGGGAAGGTCACGGGTTCAGATCATCAGGGGTGCAGGGCCACAGCGCTTCACCTGAAATCTTGGGACCCGACGTGCTGGAATTCAGAACTTTTTAGGTTTTAGGATAATACCCTGTATTTGCCGGAATTCTGTAAGCCTCCCTCCCTTAACAAGGGGCAATACCACCAGCAAACGTGTCAATATTTCTGCAGTGAAATATGTGGATGTTCATGTTAGATGGGATTCTTAAAGGATCATCCATAGATTCATGTCAGTTCAGGTCAAGTTTTGCAATGAGTTCCAAGGAACTGTCTGTTTTTAAGGCTTTTATGGTGTTAGGGACAGGGAAAGGTGGATACAGCATGTAACGATCTAAATCTTCCCCTTCTTTTCCCCTCAGTGACCAAGAGGCAAAAGTCCTGGACTACCAGACGCAGCAACAGAAACTCTTTCCTCAGCTGGCCATCAGTTATGCCTTCCACTTCCTGGCGGTCAGCCTCTTGGAGTTCTTTCAGCGCTCCTACAGTGCCATTCTGAACAGAGACTTCCACATCCTGCCCGAGGTACCTGCTGTCTGCAGAGGGGCGAGGGGAGCAGCTAAGATCGTTCCACCCACTGGGGAGCAGCCATAACCCCATCCCCATGGGCACTCCCCACCCCCACCTCTTCCAGCTTCTAGCATCCCAGGGCATCTGGGTGAACATTTCCCTGATAAATCAATTTACCCACAACTGGCCCCCAGAGAGCCACAAACATGCTAAGAGGAAACACTCGCACCTAGGATAAGGAACACAGGTCCACAACCCCTGATGTGCATTTGAAACCCAAAAAGCCCAGATAAACAGTTGTTTGGAACTCATTTGGTGGCATAGTTGGACCTGAACTGACCTGATTAATCCGTCTGAGTGTGAATACATTTGCAGTAAAATTATTAACGTGTTTAATCACTAAGGTTACCCCAAACCCCACTGGGGCTATTATATATAGTGTACCTTAAACACCACTTGCCTGTCTACAATTCAAAAGTTACTCTGATTCCTAAATACAGCTGGCCCACAGGTCTCCGGTAAAGCATTGTGGACTTACATATACAGTACGATTCGGTCTGTCCAGGCAGCATGCTCTAGAAGCACTGTTAACCCTTCCAACTGCAACTGAGGCACAGAGAGATCAAGGGACACAACATTTCCTCCCAAGGACTTGAAAGTTCCAAAGATAGGTAGGGGCTTCAAGAACCAAAATCTCAAACCAGGCTGCTGCCTGCCAGCATCTGTCTCTGTTGGGCTGCTGTAACAAAATACCATAAAGCAGTGGTTCATAAACAACAGAAACTGGCCACGCATGGTGGCTCACACCTGTAATCTCAGCACTTTAGGAGGCCAGGGCAGGGGGATTGCCTCAGCAAGATGGTAAGAACCCATCTCTACACAAAAAAATTGAAAAATTAGTCAGGTATGGTGGCACACACCTGAAGTCCCAACTACTACTTAGGAGGCTGCAGTGGGAGGATTCCTTGAGCCCAGGAGTTCGAGGATACACCGAGCTGTGACTGTGCCACTGCACTCCAGTCCAGCCTGAGCAACAGAATAAGACCCTGTCTCAAAACAAAATAAAAATTATTTCTCACAATTCTGGAGGCTGGGAAGTCCAAGGTTGAGGCTCTTGCGCATTTGGTGTCAGGTGAGGGCCTGCTTCTTGGTTCATAAATGGCTGTCTTTTTGCTATGACCTCATATGGTAGAAGTGGCTGGCCTCTTTCATGAGGGCACTGATCCCATTCATGAAGCCTCCACCCACATGAGCTAATCACCTCCTGAAGGTCCCACCTCCTAATACCATCACCTTGGGGGCTAGGATTTCTACATAAGAATTTTAGATGGACACATTCAGACCCTATCACCCTCCTACCACCCATAAATGGGCTGACCGTGGACACCCATCCTCACAGGCCAGCTTTCTAAAACTCATTCCAGCAAAATTCATAACTCCTGGAGGCTTGTGGGCTCAATCCAGACAGTACCCTCTTCCCAATCCTGGAGACACTGGCCGCCAGGTTTTTCTTTGCTTTTTTTTTTTTTTTTTTTTGAGACAGAGTCTTGCCTGAGCGCAGTGGCACACTCTTGGCTCACTGCAACCTCTGCACCCCTGCACCCCCAGGTTCAAGCAATTCTCCTGCCTCAGCCTCCCAAGTAGCTGGGATTACAGACACACACCACCATGCCCCGCAAATTTTTGTATTTTTAGTAGAGATGGGGTTTCACCATGTTGGCCAGGCTGATCTCAAACTCCTGACCTTGTGATCCACCTACCTCAGCCTCCCAAAGTGTTGGCATTACAGATGTGAGCCACTGTGCCCAGCTCCTTTGCTCTTATGCCCCTACAGCTACATTGCCTAATTGTGTGCCTCTGGGTGAGTCACATAACCTGAGTAACTACCTTCTCATTCATAAAGTTGTGAGCAGATGAAACACTTCTTGCTTCAGAGCTGAGCTGGGCATGCAGTAGATGCTCTGTAAGTGGTACACAGGGTTGGCCCCCATGGTGAAGGTCCCTTTACACTGCCCAACCCCTCTGTGTTCTCACAGCTCCACGCACTGAGCACAGGCATGAAGGCCATGATGTCAGACTTCTGCACCCAGGGAGCTGAGATGTGCCGCAGGGCCTGTGGCGGACACGGCTACTCTAAGCTGAGTGGCCTGCCATCACTGGTCACCAAAGTGTCTGCCTCTTGCACCTATGAGGGTGAGAACACAGTGCTCTACCTGCAGGTGGCCAGGTAAGATCCAGACTGACCCAGGCCTTTGCCCAAGCCCTTGGGGACCCACCAAGTTTCTGCTGGGTAGAGGGTTCTGTCTGATGCCCATAAAGGGAGCAGGCTTTGGGAAGCACCATTTGGGAGCTGTCCAATTCCCCCAATATGACCAAGCCACCAGTTTCTAGGACACCATCCTCTCTCACCTCCACCACAGCCTCAGACTCCTCCCTCATCTCTTGCTTCTGCCCTTCTCCACTTCTCCACAGGGATCTTTTCAGAGCCTAGGGAAGATCACATCTTTCTCTGGTTTGAAATTCAGTGGCTTCCCAGTGCTTGTAGGAAAATGCCACATTCTATGCTATGGCCTGCAAGTGAGACCTGTCCATCCTCCATCCTGCTCTCACCACCTCCTACCTCTGCTCACTTCTTCTTTTTTTTTTTTTTTTTTTTTTTTTTTAAGATGGAGTCTCACTCTGTTGCCCAGTCTGGAGTGCAGTGGCACAATCTCAGCTCACTGCAACCTCCACTCCCTGGGTTCAAGTGATTCTCCTGCCTCAGCCTCCCAAGTAGCTGGGATTACAGGCACATACCACCACGCCTGGCTAATTTTTGTATTTTTAGCAGAGATGGGGTTTCACCATGTTGGCCAGGACAGTTTCGATCTCTTGACCTCGTGATCTGCCTGCCTTGGCCTCCCAAAGTGCTGGGATTATAGGCGTGAGCCACTGTGCCCGGCCACCTCAGCTCACTTCTGCTGGCCACACACTTCTTTCTGTCCAGGAGGCTTTTGCATTTGCTCCCTTCCCTCCCAACATGGCCTTGTTTCCTTTGGAGCAGTTTCACAGTCTGTCATCGTCTCATTTAATTTTTTTGTCCACCTTTTTAGCTCTGCTCTCCAACTAGACTAGGAGCTCCCTGAGGGCAGGGACTACCCCTACCTTGCTCACTACAGCATCGCCCAGGCTTGGTGCAGAGCCTGCACACAGAGGCTCCAACCCCAGAGGCAGGAAGCAACAGCCAAGTCGGCCTCCTCCACACAGACGGCTTCTTTTGATCCCTTTTAGGTCTGTGGGACCTTGAGGCCGACAGAATCTCACACTCACCTATTCTCAGGTGACCAAACAGGGTAAATGCTTCCCTATGCAAGGAGAAAGAATTTCACTGGCAAATATGAAATACATGTATTAGATTTTTAAAAACATATAACATCCCTTAGTTTTTTTCCAAATTACAAAAAGAATACAATAGCACGTATTATGTACTCTGGGCCCAGCACTGTGCCAAGCACTCTACAAATATTATCTCATTCTGCTTCAGAACCCCCCATCCGATGAGAACTGTCCTCCCCACCTAGAGCTGGAGAAGCTGAGCCTTGGGAAGTGGAGCTACTTCTGCAGCATCACACAGGTCCCGGCAGGGCTGCATGGGATCCAGGGCTGTCTGAGCCCAGGACCTGTAACCACTGGATTAGCCTAAAGCAGCAGCTGAGAGTCACCTATAATCCTCCTATTCCTGTTAGCATTCTTGCCTCTATCCTTTTTTCAGCTAAGAAAATTTAATTTCTACCCAGTCACTGTACAAGTCATTATAAATCCTCAAATTGCAATGTTCGGATGGAAAATTCTCTTTGCTCAGATCACAGAAGGGTTTATGTTCAGGATCTGAGAGTGTCAGGACCAGCTCCACAGGTCCTGGGGTGTGCCTCACTGAGGGCCTTGAGGCAGGAGGACCCAAGGGAAACCCTCAGGAGGGAGACCAGGCAGAGGCCGGGTGATGCGGCTCTCCCACAGGAAGGCTGGAACCTGGCAGGAGCGTGCCCGTCTCTGGGAGTGAGCGGTGCTGGGCTGTCCAACATAGTTTCTCCGTTCTCCCTGCCTCCCCTTCCACCCCCAAGGTTTCTGGTGAAGAACTACCTGCAGACTCAGATGTCCCCTGGCTCCGCACCGCAGAGATCTCTCCCTCCATCTGTCGCCTATCTCACCGCACCTGTCCTGGCCAGGTGTCCAGCCCAGAGGGCAGCCGACTTCCTCTGCCCGAAGCTCTACACCACGGCCTGGGCACACGTGGCAGCAAGGTAAGCCAGTGCTGAGAAATCAGCCATCACTCTTGGGGACAGGCTCCATGCCACACTAGGGCCTTTGGGATTGGTTGGTTGGACATTTGTGGATTCAGCTCTAAAACCACCCTGTGCCTAGCCTCCCCAGTCCTCTCAGTTCCTGCCACCGTGGGCAGAGAGAGGGGAAGTCCCCCCAATCAGCCATGGACCCTCATCACTTCCCCATCCTGGTCACAGTAGTAGAAGGACATCACACCTCTGGCCAGTGAGATATCTTTGAAATCTCTAGGGTCCTACGGTTATGCGCAATACAATAAATGTACCCATATGTAAAGACCACAAATGTATTGATATGCAAATGCCAATAAAGTAATACTCATATGTTTGAAATATGCCATAATCTAAAAATAATTTTTGAAACTATGACTATACCACGGGATAGAATTCATTTATTTCCAGGGTCTAGGAGGCTCCAGGGAACATGGACAAAACGAAGGACCCATCCATTCTGTCATTCAACAAATATTGTTCACTACCTACTGTGTGTCAGGAATGACCAAATACACCAGGGGCAGGAAATAAAAAGAGATCCTGACCAAATACAGACACCACTATGGAAAACATGGAGAGATTTACCTACCTAAAAAGAAAACCTTTTGAACCCTGCCCCAAATTAAAACACCAAAAACAGGCTGGGCGTGGTGGCTTATACCCATAATTCCAGTACTTTGGGAGGTCAAGGTGGGCGGATTGCTTGAGCTCAGGAGTCTGAGACCAGCTTGGGCAACATGGTGAAACCCCACCTCTATTAAAAATACAAAAAAAAATTAATTAAAAAAAAATGAAACACCAAAAACAAACTGGAAAAACATATTTTCAGTATATAATCAGAGGCCTTATATCCCAACCTGTGGTCTCAGGGATGGTTAATAGTTATTTCAAGATCACAAGCAACTTGGAACATTCATTTATTTATTCCAAAAATATTTATTAACTGCCTATAATATGGCATGCACTGTTCTAGGCATTAGAGACCTATCAGTAAACAGGCCCAATAAACATCCCAGACCTCACCGAGCTAACATTTCAATTGGGAGATTTGAGGAGGGGAATATAAGGCTGCTCAAGGTAATTGAAGTGTCATGATAGTTCTCCTTGCTTGAAACTCAGTGTGACCTATCTATTCCCTGGCAAAGCAAAAAACATTGCTTAATAAACAGTTTGCTTTACACACAAATTCCAAGGGTCATGGGTGGACGGGCAGGGAATAAAAAAATAAGAAGGATTAAAGGTTAATAAAATGGCAAATGACAAATTTAGTGGTTTGCAGGACAAAGGTTGGTTTTCTGTTTTTGCTTTTAGGTTCCTTGGGTAGAACCTACAACAGGCTAGGTGACCAACAGGCCCCTCCGGCCTTTACAGAAAAACGATTCTCCTTGCTCAGTCCATAGGATGTCAGTCAACAGAAAAGCCTGAACATACTGGTGTCAGGCCGGAATCTGCATTAGAAATAGGGTACAGCTCCTGGCCTATGGCTCTGAAGCTTTATAACATGGTGATTAAGTCAAGGCCGGCACGGTGGCTCACACCTGTAATCCCAGCACTTTGGGAGGCCGAGGCAGGCGGATCACGAGGTCAGGAGTTCGAGACCAGCTGGTCAACATGGTGAAACCCTATCTCTACTAAAAATACAAAAATTAGCCGGGCATGGTGGCGCATACCTGTAATCCTAGCTACTTAGGGGGCTGAGGCAGGAGAATTACTTAAGCCCGGGAGATGGAGGTTGCAGTAAGCCGAGATCCCACCACTGCACTCCAGCCTGGGGGACAGAGTGAGACTCTGACTCAGAAAAAAAAAAAGAAAGAAAGAAAAAAGAATAAGTCAAAATCCTGTCTCTGCTCCTTATTAGCTGTGTGACCCTAGACAAATTAGTTAACCTCTCTGGGACTCAGTTTTCCCCACTGCAAACTGGGGGGTGCCTGCCCTTAAAAGAGTTAAAGAGATAATGAATATCAATCATTTAGCTTGATGGCACACAAGTGGTCAATAAATAGACATTATTTCTACTTCTGAGGAACCACAGGAAGCCCATCAGTTGTCTTTTCCACTCAGTCAGGAAGCTGAACCTTTTTTTCTTTGTCCTTCAGGCTGATAAAGGACTCAGTGCACCATTTACAGACCCTGACGCAATCCGGAGCTGACCAGCACGAGGCCTGGAACCAGACCACTGTCATACACCTCCAGGCTGCTAAGGTGAGCTCCCGCCAGCTGAAGCTAAAAGGGATCCGTTTTTGTTTCCCAGGCAGGCTACCCTGCTGGGAAAATCCAGGTTCTGCCATTATTCCCAAACTCTGCTCTGCCAGCAGCTGCCCTCATTTCACTTCTAAGGCTTTAGTCCAGGGTATTTTAATTAAAGGACTTAACTCCAAAGCAATCTTGCTGGCAGCTCTTACGGGAAAAGGTAATGAGGCAGTGTTATTGGATTTGCTTCAGGTTGTTCAAATATTTCCTCCCAGATAGAAAAGCAGGTCAAGTCTCCCCTTAGCCCCACAGGCAATCCTTGGATGTCTGATTCAATTTCCACTCTGTTTTGTGTTTGTGCATAATTCACAGTCAGTCAGCAAATATTTGAGCACCCACTCTGCACTAGGCACTGAGCTGGGGCTCAACAGTGAAGCCACTGCCCATACACAGCTACAATCAAGGAAGCACCATAGCAGGGAAATACAGGCTGCTGTGGAATCCCAGAGCAGGTACCCTTCTGCCTACCTGGAGGAGTCAGAAAAAGTGGCATATAGGCTCAGACTTCAAGGATAAGCTGAAATTAGCCAAACGGTGGGGCAGCAGCTTCGGAGAGAAGAGTTTCCGGGCAAAGGAAGCTGCGCGTGCCAAAGGAGGCGCAGCTGGTGTGCTTGGGAAGAGAGCAAACCTCCCAGGGAGGACCTAAGGAGGGGGACTGAGACACGGGGAGGAGAGACAGGCAAGGCCTCCTCTGACCTTTTGTACCACTGTGAAAAGTTGGGGGTTTGTTTTCATTGCAATGCCTGTGCTGAGTTTGTTTGGAGGTGGGGTAATCAGTTTCATTCTAGAAGAATCATGCAGGCTGCAGGGGGAGGAATGGACAGGAGGCTAGAGGCCAGTTAGAAGGGAACAAGTCTGGGCCAGGACTGAGGGTGGTCCCGACCATGAGCATGGCAGAGAGCCTGGAGACAAGTGGGTAGATCAGAGATGCTAAGGGGAAAAGAAGGCAGGGACGGCCCTCAGAGTGCTGGGGTGGGAAAGAGGTAAGAACAACTCCCGAGTTCTAGTTTAAGCAGCTGGGACTCTGGCCCTGCCAATAACTGGAAAACTAAAGGCCTCAGGCCTCAGACCCGGAAAATGGCAGCCTTGGAACAGGAGAGCCCTGAAGGCCTGCAGACACCCTCGTGGGACAGGGCTGGTGCGGCAGGCTGGGCGTGAGCACCCCCACGTGAACCACCACCTCCACCACACCGCAGGTGCGGATATTAACTCTGCAGTCCTCAGTTCTGCTCAGCCCACAGCAAGGGCACCCCCTGCTGTGCTAACTGTCCTGTCAACACAGAGGGTTAGCCAAGGCTTCGTGCCTTCACTGGATCACCAAAACAGGAACCACAGCCTCCCATTATCCACTCATCCATTTTCCGTGAAACGTATGGCCTGCCTTCAAATGGACCAGATGCTGCTTGCCAGGCTTACTTCATTTAATCCACACAACCCTGGGAGGGAGACTGACATCATCTCCACTTCAAGGGTGAGGAAAGAGAACTCAGGAGTTAGGTCCCAGAGGTAGGAAATGGCTGAGTCCAGATGCTTTCCCTTCCCACACCACCAAAGGTGTGATGAGTGACGGAGGTGAGCAACAAACGGGGGGACAGAGGGTGGCTGCCAGCCAGCCTGCGGGGGAAGAACACATCCCTGACAGTTTCCTGGGGAGGTGGTGCCCCAGCTAATTCTCCAAGGTCATAATGGATAGGGCTTTCTGTACTCTCTGTGCTTTGTGGGGTTATCTAGTCTACAGAAAGCTTCAGCACCCAGCTGGGCCCCATCTGGAAACCATCAATGTACAGGTAGAGCTAACCGCAACCTGGGGGAAGGGGGGATGATATTGACAGAAAAGTAGATAAGGGGGAGCCACAAACTAAATTCTGGTCCCAGCTCTGTGTGACCTCAAGCACCCCTTCCCTCTCTGGGCTTTAACTTTACTGTCTGTAAACAAAGGGGCATGGAAGAGCCCTTTAGATTCTGACAGGCTCTGATCCTATCATTCAGACTGACCAGAAGACATGTCAGTTCCCAGGACGACTGGAACAAATGCTGGCCTCATTATAATCCAGCTGCTCTCCTGTGGCTTTGGCCACACAGGGTTAGGAATATAGCCCTGGGGTGGATCTCACTGCCACCATTTTCTAGCCATCACCTTGGGCAAAAAACTTAATCTCTCAGAGCCTCAGTCTCTTCTTCTGCAAGATGGAACTATAGGATTCTGATGACGATTAAATGAGTTAATACACGTAAAATTTAAGAGAGGCAGCTAGCATGTAAGTGCTATATATCGTACCCCTACACCCAAATTAGACAGGAGGCAAGATTTAAACCCACACACACAATGTAAATAATGTTCACTGTGCTCAGAGCATGGGGCCAAGGTTCGGCTCAGCCCTTCCCCAAAGCATAGAGGTCACCTGTCTCTGATCCTCATCCTGCTTTTTAAGGCAGAGGCCCAGACCCTTGGGCAGCGCTCCATCACTCCACCCCTCAACTCAGAGCCTTGAGCATTTGATGATGTGGCTCTCAGGTTACAATAGGAAAAGGAGTGTGGGTCTGCAGTTCTGCCCAGCTGGACCCAGTCTGAGCAGCAAAGGCTCATGGAGCCAGCAGAGACAACGAGGTACATCTGCTCACCTCCCACAGCCAAATGCTGCAAGCTCAGCAGGCTGTCAGCACACCATGTCTGCATGGCAAAGTGGAGTTGTCAGCACCTGTGTGAGAGCCCCCTAGGAAACATAGGTTCTTTCCAAGTGAGAAAACGAATCGGGTCACTGTCCTGCTGAAGACTCCCGGTCCCACAGAACAAATCCAGACCCTGTCATTCACAGCCCTTCACTGACCTGGGCCCCAGGTCTGGGTCCACCCTAACCTCTATAAGTTCCCCATCATCACCTTATTATACCCCCACACTTCAGCCTCATTAAATTGCCTGCAGCTTCCTGAAAGTACAGCCTTTTGCACAAAATGTTCCCCCTGCCTGGAGTGACCTTTCCTCCAATTCATGTCCCCTTGGGTGAACTCCTTTGAAACCCCAAGATGCTCTTTTTTTTTTTTTTTAATTTTAAGACAGGGTCTCACTCTATCACCCAAGCTGGAGTGCAGTGGCACCATCTCAACTGACTCCAACCTCTACCTCCCAGGCACAAGCGATTCTTGTGCCTCAGCCTCCCAAGTAGCCAGAATTACAAGTGTGTACCAACACACTTGGGTAATTTTTGTATTTTTGTAGAGGCAGGGTTTCGCCATGTTGGCCAGGCTGGTCTTGAACTCGTAACCTCAAGTGATCCACCCATCTCAGCTTCCCAAAGTGCTGGAATTACAGGTGTGAGCCACAGTGTCCAGCCGAACCCCCAAAACACTCTTAAGTCTTGCTGCTGAAAATCACTACAGCAGCACGGGCATCACAGGGGACCCCATTAGAAATGCACAGTCTTAGGCCAGGCGCAGTGGCTCATGCTTGTAATCCCAGCACTTTGGGAGGCTGAGGCGGGCAGATCACCTGAGGTCAGAAATTCAAGACCAGCCTGACCAACATGGACAAACCCCTCTCTAGTAAAAAATACAAAATTATCAGGACATGGTGGTGGATGCCTGTAATCCCAGCTACTCAGGAGGCTGAGACAGGAGAATCAGTTGAACTCAGGAGGCGGAGGTTGCAGTGAGCCAAGATCGCACCATTGCACTCCAGCCTGGGCAACAAGAACGAAACTGTCTCAAACAAAAGAAATGCACAGTCTTAGACCCTGCCTTGGAATCTGCATTTTGACAAGATCCCCAGGTGATCTATATGCACCCAAAAAAACTGAGAAGCTGGCTGGGCCCAGAGACTTACGCCTGTAATCCCAGCACTTTGGGAAGCCAAGGAAGGAGGATCATGAACTCAGGAGTCCAAGACCAGTGTGGGCAACATGGCAAGACCCTTATCTCTACTAAAAATACAAAAAGAATAGCCTGGCATGGTGGTATATGCCTGTGGCTCCAACTACTCAGGAGGCTGAGGTGGGAGAATCGCTTGAGCCCAGCGGAGCAGAGGTTCCAGTGAGCTGAGATCACAACACTAATTCAGCCTGGGTGACAGACTGAAATTCTATCTCAAAAATAAAAAAGTAAAATTGAGAGGCACTGCTTTGCACTCCCTGTCTTCCTTGCTCTCCCTTGAGGAACTCATATATCCTGCCTGACAAAATAATTACATGTGCTTGTCTTGACAAGATGGGGACTCTTCAAAATATTAACAACCCATAGGACAAGGCACCCACCCATCAACTGGACGTCAGGCCCAGAGGAAGCAAGGTCCTGAAGGCCTTCTGCTGGGTCAAGCATTAGTTGCTGACCTGTGGAGAGAAGGAGGGGTCTTCAGGAAGGAGCCCATTTGGCAGGAGGAGCTCTCACAGGGTTGATGGCAGTGGACACTTGCCAACTGGTATTAAAGTATTCTTTTAACAACTGACAGAGCCAGACCATTACATATGCGCTAAATAACAGCACTGCTTACCTTAAGAAGTTTATGCTCTAGCTGGGATAAATTTCATATACATCTTGAACTCATATTTTCTCACCCCACAGTGCACACACGTGTGCACATACACATTGACTTGAACATGGCAGACAAAAAAATAGCTATTTTTTTTTGAGATGGAGTTTCACTCTTGTTTCCCAAGCTAAAGTGCAATGACCTGATTTTGGTTCACGGCAACCTCCGCCTCCTGGGTTCAAGCAATTCTCCTGCCTCAGCCTCCCAAGTAGCTGGGATTATAGGCATGCACCACCATGCTGGGCTAATTTTTGTATTTTTAGTAGAGACAGGATTTCACCATGTTGATCAGGCTCGTCTTGAACTATTGACCTCAAGTGATCCACCCACCTTGGCCTTCCAAAGTGCTGAGATTACAGGTGTAAGCCACTGCACCGGGTTTAAAATATCTATTTTCTTAAGAACCATGGTGCTGTCCTCCACCTTCCCCAGGCCAGCCTCCAATATTCCTGTATTCTTTCTCTCCACTTTCCAACCTACTTGAAACTGCTCCAAGCAAAATAAAGAGCCATGTTTCAAAGTCCACCAGCCCCCCCAACACACACACACATACACACACCATCAAAAAGGCTCGATCAGACCCAGAGTGAGCGAGGAAAAGAGGTAGCTGCTCATCAGCCTGCTGGGAAGCACATGCCTGCCTCAAGTTTATTCCAGCCATCTGGCCAAGCTTACAGGATGACTTCTGGAGTAGAAAATCAGAAATCAGGAGAACATATCTTTGTGTCTTTGTAGGCACACTGCTACTATGTCACTGTGAAGGGTTTTGCAGAAGCTCTGGAGAAACTAGAAAATGAACCAGCGATTCAGCAGGTGCTCAAACGTCTCTGTGACCTCCATGCCATACATGGAATCTTGACTAACTCGGGTGACTTTCTCCATGATTCCTTCCTGTCTGGTGCCCAAGTGGACATGGCAAGAACAGCCTACCTGGACCTGCTGTGCCTGATCCGGTGAGTGGCTGAGGCTTCAAACCATGTTGGCCTTCAGAGAATAACTCTACACCGTTGTTCACAGGTCACTACCAACTCCAAACCCTTGCTAATGGGCACAGCAGCAACAGCCCTGGAGAGGTTTACACCCTATTATCATTACACCAACATAAAGCATTATGAATTAATGAAAGAAAAAATGGGAAAAAAGATAAATAATAAAAATACTTAATAAGTTAGCTACCTCAATTGAACTCTTCAACATTGTCAAGGAAATAGGAACAGTATCTAAGGAAGATGAATAACACAAAGCATGCTACATATGAATGATATGTGCTAATGTGTTAATGATAATGGTCTCAATCATAGCTAGCCTTTTTTTTTTTTTTTTTTTTTTTTTTGAGACAGGGTCTTGCCCTGTTGTCCAGGCTGAAGTGCAGTAGCATTATCTCAGCTCACTGCAGCCTCTGCCTCCTGGTTCAAGTGATTCTCCTGCCTCAGCCTCCTGAGTAGCTGGGATTAGCAGGCAAGGTTCTTTTGGTTTTTTTTGTTTTTCTTCTTTAGAGATGGGGTTTCACCATGTTGGCCAGGCTGGTCTCGAACTCCTGACCTCAAGTGATCCACCTGCCTCGGCCTCCCAAAGTGCTGGTATTCAGGCATGAACCATCACACCCAGCCATAGCTAACCCTTAAAGAGCACTTATGTGACAGGCCCTGTCCCTCATAAGTGCTCTTTATCTTACATACATCTCATTTAATCCTTATAGCCCTTTGAAATGAGTACTATTAATCTCCTCATTTTATTGGAAAGGAAATTCAGGCTGATGGGAGATAAGTTGCCCAGTGTCACACAATCAGCCAGAGGAGGAGCCAGTTACAATTTCAGGTCTGGCCCCTGAGCATGCACTCTTAACCTGTATGTTAAGGTTAAGGTTAAGGTTGAGGAATTACTTACTTCAAACACATCCTTGTCTTTTTGCTGAATGTGCTTAAGCAAATTCTTACCAAAATTAGTAAACTTACCTTATCCTCCCTCAGCTTCAAGGTAAAATTTTTTTAAAACTCTGTAATTCATATATTGATTTGTAAAATTTTAACACAAAGTTTTTAAATGCAGCATGAATGCAGTGCTATGTAGGGTCATGAAATACTAATGCAGTGCTTTCACACTGTTATTCTATCACCTAAACAATTGCTGTAAAAACATCTCAAAACCAAAGCCCAACCTGATCAGGGTCCTAGAAAAAGTAGAAATAAAAACGATAAAGAAAAAAAAAGCCTGAGCAACGTGGCAAAACTCCATCTCTACAAAAAAATGAATTGGGCATTGTGGCACACACCTGTGGTATCAGCTACTTGGGAGGCTGAGGTAGGAGGACTGATTGCGGTTGAGGTTGTAGTGAGCTATGATCCCACCACTGCACTCCAGCCTGAGCAACAAAGTCTCCAAAAAAAAAAAAAAGGGAAAGAAAAGAAAACATTGCAAATTATTTACCATTGTCTATAACATAAAAAAATGGACTAACTTGAGAATATAATCTTTTTGAGACCTCACTGGGCAGAAAATATGATGCCTATTGCATGGGGTCAGGGTTGACTCCTAGAATTTCCAATAATTCTCACATCAACAAGACAATAAAAGGAAAAAAGAGGCTGGGAGCAGTGGCTTACACAGGTAACCCCAGCACTTTGGGAGGCCAAGGTGGGAGGATCACTTGAGGCAAAGAGTTCAAGACTAGCCTGGGTACCACAGTGAGACACCATCTCTAAAATTTAAATATATATATACACACACACACACACACACACACACACACACACACACACACACACATAAATAAAATAAGATTTGTAATTTTAAAAATAAGATTTTTAAGACAGGTTTTTTAAAAACTAAATTCCTTTTATTTCTAACTATATACAATATGTTACATGCTCTTTATGACTACTCATAGCATGTAACACATAGCTGGTGGTTAAAAAAATGTTTGTTCAGGCTAGGTGCGGTGGCTCACACCTGTAATCCCAGCACTTTGAAAGGCCAAGGCAGGTGAATCATCTGAGGTCAAGAGTTTGAGACCAGCCTGGCCAAGATGGTTGAAACCTCATCTCTACTAAAAATACAAAAATTAGCCAGGCGTGGTTGCAGGCACCTGTAATCCCAGCTACTTGGGAGGCTGAAGCAGGAGAATCACTTTAACCCAGGAGGCAGAGGTTGCAGTGAGCCGAGACTGCACCACTGCACTCCAGCCTTGGTGACAAGAGTGAGACTCCATCTTAAAAAAAAAAAAAAGTTTGTTCAGTTAAAGCATCAAAAACTGTCAAAAAATACATTTGACACAATTACATCCCAGGTATTAAGCTTTCCCTAATACGAGGAATCCAGTGGTGAAAACTGTTAAGAGCATAATTAAGTACTGCACAGTTCAAGCCCAAGGGTGTCTATCTTTCTGAAACCTTCAATATTTAAAAGTACATGAAAATAATGTTCGAGCTCTGGTTAACAATGATGATGCAAAAGATCACCTTAATACCCTATAAGCATGTTTTTCTAAATTTGCAAACAGCATTTCTAAGTGCCTGCCTTGGCTCCAGAAACTTACAATTCAAGACAAGATAGACAGCCCTGATGCAAGCTGCCAACTTACTCATGCATCAAACCCAGAAATGGATTTACTTACATGATGGTTCCTAAGTAACCTTACTACTGCAGGGTAATTAGGTACATTACAGATTCTGTGCATATCATTATTCGGGGTCACAGTTCCCTGCCTTGATTAGTCACTATCTCCCTAAGATTTCTGAGATGAAAAATGAAGGGTAGCATAGTATCCTAAGGATGCCAAGAACCAGCTCTCTGTAATGTTAACTGACCCAGTTTTTAGTTGTTTAAGTGGTCATAAAACCTCAGTTGGGAGACTTCCAGGTAAAGATAGCAGATTAAACATACACATTCACTTTTGTTCTTTCCTGAAACCCTACTAAAACATCAGTGAATGGACTGAAATCTTTTAAAAGGCACACGCCCACAAGAGAAAGAGAACAGGAGAGAAAGCATGAAAGCTGGAGAATGGATGGACATACTTGACAGACTAGTGATTTAGCAGACAAGTTACACCAAGGAACCTCAGGAACTAGCAGCACTGTGTACCTCTGGCAGTGGGGGTGAGGGTAAGAATGACGGGAGGGGTTAAAAGTCTATTTCAGAAGGAGCTGAATCCCCAGGTCCCCTCCTCATCTGTGAGTACTTATTTAGGAGCTTTCGAGGGGTTTTTGTTTTTGTTTTTAAAGATGGAGTCTCCCTATGCTGTCCAGGCTGGTCTTAAACTCCTGGGCTCAAGGGATCCTCCTACCTCAGCCTCCCAAAGTGCTAGGATTACATGCATAAGCTATCACACCTAGCCTCTACGAATAATTTTAAGACTTTCCTTGACTCTGCCCTGGCAGAAGGATAAACGGAGGGTCTGTGGACTAGGGAGCATCAGGTATAGTTGATAATAAGAGTAAGCTTCAGAAGACAGGGGTCTTTATAGGCCAAATGCTGATACCTCCCTCTCCAGACCTATAATCCCAGCACTTTGGGAGGCCCAGGTGGGCAGATGACAAGGTCAAGAGATTGAGACCATCCTGGCCAATGTGGTGAAGCCCCATCTCTACTAAAAATACAAAAAAATTAGCCAGATATGGTGGCGCACGCCTACAGTCCTAGCTACCTGGGAGGCTGAGGCAGGAGAATCACTTGAACCCAGGAGGTGGAGGTTGCAGTAAGCCAAGATCATGCCACTGCACTCCAGCCTGGCAACAGAGTGAGACTCCATCTCAAAACAAAAACAAACAAACAAACAAACAAAGAACTAAGACTGAAAAGCAGGGAGATCAGCTGAATGGCTAATGCGATAATCCAAGTGAATGATGGTAGTGGATTGGACCAGTGATAGTGATGGAGGTGGTAGGAAGTGATTGAAGGCTGAATATATCTTGAAAGCAGAAGAGGATTTGCTGACAAATTAGATGCAGGGTGAGAAAGGAGAGGAATCAAGGTTTTTGGTCAGAAGGACAAAGCTGCCATTTACTATAAATGGGAAAGACTACAGGAGGGCCAGGTTTGGGCAGGACAGACAGGAAAGATCTGGCCAACCAGGAGTTTGAGTTCAGACACATTACATGTGAAGAGCCTGTCAGAAATCCAAGCACAGACGTTGGTAAGCAGGGGACACTGGAGGAATGAATTTGGAAGTCATTGGCATGTGGTTGATATTTAAAGCCATGAGGAGGACTATCACAAAGAGTGCATGAAGAGAAGAGGTCCAAGTACTGAGTCTTCAGACCCTCAAAAGATAGTAAGGAAGTAATGATGACAAGAGCTATTTCTGTGGAGTCATGAAGTCATGTTTTTACATGAATTGATCCAGTTCAGGAGAGAATAAACAGGCATAACACTTTCAGGGAGTTTTGTCCTAAAGGGGAGCCAAGATGATGGAGAAGGAAATAGAGTCAAAAGCTTGTGTTTAAGATGGCAGAAATGACTTTCTGTTTGTACACTGAAGGAAATGATCCAGTAGAGAGGGGATTTTTTTTTTTAAACCTCTCTTTGAACTTGATCTTGGCCTCCCATCAGGCCTTGTGTTTAAGAGCAAGGTCTTTGAAGAGATCTTTGTTGTTGACAGTTTGTCCAAGAGGATATCCACAGAGTACCTTGTGGGCATAAGGTGACTGCAGTTGTAAGCTTTTGCAAAAGACTTGATCTTGGACCTCTTGGAGATCTTCTTGCCTATGGCAGCTGTCAATCTGTGAGGCTAGCAGTCAGTTCCAGCTACCAAAGCCTGACTGTAAGAATGGACTCAGGTGCCATCATCAATGCTCTTCACAATGATGGCTTTGCGTCCGGAATAGCATACAGCCAGGACTAGCACCACTTTCCCAGGTTTCATGAGCATGCCCATTTTGACAACAACCAGCCAGGCCTACAGTAAAAAGAAAGAAGGGCATTTCCACTAACCATTTGCCTCTGAGTTGGGAATTTTGATGTTCCCATCTCAAAGGCAGGAGAATTTTGTTCTCCAGTAGGCAAGAGGAAGACATCTAGTAGACAAGGCGGGACTGAGGCCTGAGCTGGGAGCCTGGACAGCTAACCTGCATTAAGAGAGAAGGCACTGTACATATAAACGCAAAGGTGGGAACGTATACAGATTCTCTTATTTTTCCACTTCATCAGTGAAATAGTATGCAAAGCCATCCAGGCAAAAGAGATGGCAAAGGTGGACAGTGTCGATCTGAGGATCAAAGAGATTGTATGAAATAACCATCTAGGAGAAGGAAAGGGTAAATGAACAATGAGTAAATACAGCAATGTAATACGATTGCTGAGCTGCAACTGGGCCTACCTGAGCCCTTATTACACCAGTTATGATTGGTTTTTCCAGCCATGTATAGCTACAAAAGCGGTGGCACAAAGTGGGTGGAAAATTAAAGACAAAGAAGTATGCATTTTGCTAAACAGGTATGACAAAGCAAGAAAAACTGTTGTGTGTGTGTGTGTGTGTGTGTGTATTTTTTTTTTTTTTTTTTTTTTTTTTTGGAGAAGGAGTCTTGCTCTGTTGCCCAAGCTGGAATGCAGTGGCACAATCTTGGCTCACTGCAACCTCTGCCTCCCAAGTTCAAGCAATTTTCCCACCTCAGTCTTCCCAGTAGCTGAAACTACAGCTGAAAAATTAGCCACCACACTTAGCTAAATTTTGTATTTTTAGTAGAGACAGGGTTTCGCCATGTTGGTCAGGCTGGTCTCGAACTCCTGACCTCAATTGATCCATCCACCTGGGCCTCCCAAAATGCTGGGATTACAGGTGTGAGCCATCACAACCCAACCTGTCGAATATATTTTTGAGAGAGTAATAAAGCATGGAATTTCAGCTGGATAAGGAATGAAGTGAGACCACAAGGGGCCAGGGGGACACTAAATTAGCAATAGGGCTCAAATGGTGATGGGGATCATCAAGAAAGGGTTAAATTGGATACAGTATCCAAGTTACCTCCAATGCTTTAATGACGCACAGTCATCATAATGTCAATAATGAATTTTGGCCAGAGGAGGAAGAATGGGAACAGGGGGAGATAGGAGTGAAGAGAAGGGTGATAAATATAAATCCTTACTTTTCGAATGAAGAATCAACAAATACTATCTAAAACTGAACCATCAAGAAGCAGCAATATAAACAAGATATTTTGACATTCAGATAAATACTGAAATATCATCTAAAAGATTGAAATTGCCTCGGGGGAGAAAGAAGTGGAAATCAGGGATATGCTGTTTTTTTTTTTTAAACAAGCCTTAAAGAACTCTTTGACTCATTATACTATGCATATATATATATATATATAACTGATTTTAAAATTTTTTAAAATGCTGAATTGTTTGAAAATCGAATAATCACGCAACCTTTAATTGGATATTGTTATTCACCATCCAAGACTAGTTTGATTCATAAGAGCACTCTGAAACACTCACAAACTCTTGTTTCCTCTCCCAGGAAGGATGCCATCCTATTAACTGATGCTTTTGACTTCACGGATCAGTGTTTAAATTCAGCACTTGGCTGTTATGACGGAAATGTCTATGAACGCCTGTTCCAGTGGGCTCAGAAGTCACCAACCAATACTCAGGTAGTTGAGTGGAACTATAAATTACGTAAGAAAGCAGAGAACAGGCAGTGAATACACCTTCATGTTTTCCCATTTTAATTGACTCCCATTAGGTTGGAAATCACTTGGCGTAGCATGTCTGTTTAAAATATTTTTAGAGAACACATAAAAGAAACCAGCAGTGGTGGTATGGCCCGGCAGGAACTCTGAGCCTAGACTATAATCGGCAAAATGCACTGCTCGGAACTTGGTAAAGGGAATTAAGAGGAAGGCCGACGCTCTAAATCATGGCTTGACAGACCCAAGGGCATACACACAGAGTGGTAAACTGGCTTTTAAGTAACAAAAAGAAGGAGATAAATCACTGCGGTGATTTAACTACCTTATTTTCAGCCTTTTAACTTTCAGTTTTGTGTAGATAAAAGGGGGTATTCAGAAGTGATAGGAAGCTTGAGGGATGTCTCTCTCAGACCTGATTGCCTGCTACAGATGATACCCTCTCCTCTTCACTCTAAGGAATACAATTCAAGGAGTAAAAAAGCTGTTGCACTGACATCAGTAGCCCAGGAAAGCCATGTAAGTGACAATTACAAGGGTCATGCCAAAAAAAATCCCCAGCCATCCTAGGAGAGCACACCAGAACTCTGTATCATTAACAGCGAGAAGACAGGGAGGACTCATAAGGTCCCAACACTCTAGGGCCAGGGTATACTCACAGCTCTCTGCTGATGAGCCTCTTTGGGAAAAGTTGCAAATGTCAATGAATATGTTACAGAAGTGAAGAAATAAACCCTGTATTTAGAATATGAGGAACCAATTATTTAACAGCAGATTTTACACAGATAATCAAAACAACATCTATAGGTACACAGCAGATTATTTTAAATTTTAGAGTGCAAACATATTATTCAGATGATAAAGCTTTCTTTCTTACCTCTTTGGTCCAATTTCAGAAAAGGTGTCTTAACACCCCATCAAATTGGCAACTCTCAAGCTTTCATTCACACTTAGCATGGTGTTAGACTTGCTCTTAACAATTTGCAGCCTGTCATACCACATGGCTTAATTTAACATCATTATCTGAAGTTACAACACAACCAACCCATCTTGGTCACTCCTTGTCCCCAGAAAGACATCCTTTTAACTAAAGCAAATAGAAACAATTTACCTAAAGAAGGTATACATTCACAGCTTTAGTAGTTAACCTACTTCCAGTGTGTTTCTTTTTCTAATGATTAGATCTACTTTCTAACATTTAAATCTTGGCATAAAAATACAGCAGTCCTCCCACTCCAGACTAGCTCCCATGGTCTAAAGATAAATGTATGCCCTTTGGTGCTCCAGAGAAAAACCCACCCTGCTATAACACCTGTCAGAAATGCTGACATACACAGCTCAAACCTGTTTTACTGGCAGCACAAGAAACGTTCTGGCTTCTCTAGAGAGAATGGCGGGGGCTTTCTTGTGTTTTAGTTTGTTTTCAATATTTTTTAAAAGACTTTAATCTGGATAGTACATCAGAGCATGTTTATGTAAACGAGAGGAATGACTGACTCAGAGGGTCAACGCATTTGGGAAAACATTGATGCACTTCATCCCATTCACTTCTATCTCCTTCCACTTGACTGTGAACAACGATGGTGTCTTCACTTTCCCAATGCCAGGATTTATCACGGAGTAGACACTCCACGTTTATGGAATAAATGAACATGGTTTTATGACCTCTGCAGCAAGACAAAGGAACCAGCTGCATACATAGTGCCACAGACTCTTGTCATCTTAGCTTATATTACCTTCCTAAACAGGCGACAGGTATAGCACTGGATCTCTCACACATGACAATTTGGGAATGTGAACTTACAAATGATCTTAGTGAACTGTTTCCAGTTAGTTAAAATGACACGAGGCTGCCTGCTGACATATAGCCACATGATCTTACATTTCTGGCTCCTTTAGAGATCACCAAAATAGTACTCTTAAAAGGTATTTTTCTAATCTCCTGTGGATAATTTTTTAACCCTACCCTTAAGATATAATGCTATAATGCTGAAGCTGCAATAAGAGATGCTTTCCTCATTTACACTAATAGAAAGAGGCACACTACAGATATTTTATGTATACATTTTATTATTTTTTTGAGTTGGAGTCTCGCTCTGTCACCCAGGCCGAAGTGCAGTGGCACAATCATGGCTCACTGCAACCTTGGCCTCCCAGGTTCAAGCAATTCTCCTGCCTCAACCTCCTGAGTAGCTGGGACTACAGGCACGCACCACCACACCCTGCTAATTTTTGTATTTTTTATTAGTAGAGACAGGGTTTCACCATGTTGACCAGGCTGATCTCGAACTCCTGACCTCAAATGATCTGCCTGCCTCAGCCTCTCAAAGTGCTAGGATTATAGGCGTGAGCCACCACACCCAGCATATATTTCAAATAAAAGAGCAGCTATGTTGAAACATGCCCTGTAAACACGAAAGTACAAACAGGAATATATTTCACTGACATTTTTCTACCAAAAGTGCTATGCTAAGATAAACATCTTGCAATCAAATGAGAGGCTCTCTTCTCTCTGGGGCAGTGATGAGCTTTATATCCCTGGAGAGGATGATGTGCTTTCTTGGTTTAAGGGAGTAATCATTGGGGATAATTTCAAAACAAAAATCTTGTTTTTCCCCAATTATTCTATTGTAAAAATTTGTCCAATTAGGAGTTAGATGCATTTAATACATCTAGATTCATTCATGCAATAATGCAACAAATATTTACTAAGTACATGTTTATGCCAGAAACTATTCTAGATACTGAAGATACACTGCAGAACAAGAGTCATAATCCTAGGCTGAGTGCAGTGGCTCAAGCCTGTAATCTCACCACTTTGGGAGGCTGAGGTAGGTGGCTCACTTGAGGTCAGGAGTTTGAGACCAACTTGGCCAACATGGCCAAACTCTATTAAAAATACACAAATTAGCCAGGTGTGATGGTGTACAACTGTAATCCCAGCTACTCAGGAGGCTGAGGCACGAGAATTGCTTGAACCTGGGAGACAGAGGTTGCAGTGAGCCAAGATCCCCGCACCACTGCACTCCAGCCTGGACAACAGAGCGATACCCTAGTCTCAAAAAAAAAAAAAAAAAAAAGGTCATAAGCTCAGTGTTCAAGGAGCATACGGTTTTAGTGTAGACAGGCACACACACACACACACACACACACAGTAAATATTATAAAAGATGAGACTAGAACTAAGAAACAAAGAATCAAGACATTGAATTACAGCGTAATGAGGATAACCTGGTCAGACCTAGAATACTGCTTATGTGATCCCACTATCTGTTTCCTTGCTCTGTGATTAATGTTCAATTCCAGAGAGCCTCAAAGAGTCAAGCCTTTTATTTGTATTAAATTCCAAAAGCAAGTGATAAGTTGTGTTTTTAATTGGCCACCTGTATCCACAATTTAAAATCTGCATGAGAAAAGGAAGGATGCCCTTTGGAAAAAATGTTTCTCCATATGTTCACACAAAATCAGTTTTAGAAATAATTTTTAAAATTAAGAATCTTATGTAATGTTACTTTTTGAAGCTAAAGACTTAATTTGAAAGAAAAAGTCATTAATCCTGGCAGAAATGTACTGTCTTAATAACGTGTTTCTTTGTACAAACAGGAGAACCCTGCCTATGAGGAATATATAAGACCACTATTACAAAGTTGGAGATCCAAGCTATGAAATAACCAACAGTATTCAAGAAGCAACCAGCATCATTAAGTGATGATGGTACTATGGCATATATGCAAAATTAAAATTTAAAATTAGATATTTATGTTTTAGTCATTATCTTTTAGATACAGTCTGAAGTGATATATGTGAATTAATAACTGTGATTTACTTTGAAATAATCGATAGGAGAAAAAAGGCAAAGTGAATAGTTGTCGAAGCTAGTCAACAGGCAGGTACACGGGTCTTCATTATACTATTCTCTCTCTGAATGTGTTTGAAATTTCCAGTGGGGTACAGTGGGTCATGCCTGTAATCCCAACACATTGGGAAGTCAAGATGAGAGGATCACTTGAGCCTAGAAGTTCAAGACCAGCCTGAGCAACATAGAGAGATGCCATCTCTACAAAAATAACAATAAACAATTAGGCATGGGGGTACATGCCTGTGGTGCCAGCTATTGGGAGGCTGATTGCTTGAGCCCAGGAGGTTGAGGTTGCAGAAAGCCATGATCACACCACTGCATTCCAGCCTGAGCAACAGAGTAAGAACCTGTCTCAAAAAAGAAAAAGAAATTTCCCACAGTAAAAAGCAGCACCACTATCCATTTACAGCGTCTATTTGGTTAAATACCAGGATTTTGCTTTAGATCTAGCAAAAGCCAATAGGCTCATTAGTCTTCACTGTGTTCTTTAGCACACATTTATCCTTGGGCTTAAAGGGACACACATACATGCACACACACAATCCTCCTAAGTGATTATACTTGCTGTAATCTAAATAAAATACAGTTCTAAGAATGCAACTAAGTATCAACTTTTAAAAATCAACTCTTCCACAGTGAAAATGATTTAAAATTTCATTAAAAGACATAACTGTCTCGTTAACCAAATGTAATCAAGCTACATTTTTCATATCATTTTCAATTACCCAACTAGACAAAACACTCTAAATGTCATTAGACAAATAAAATGGCAAAAAAAAAAAAAAAAAAATCTCAGCTGGCTACTTTTCCTAATTTACTCATATAAACAATCATTTTATTGTTAATAATTACTAAATTTGAGAAAATTTACCAAAAGCAAACATCTCCAGTAAGCAGGACAAGGAAGAGGCCTCATAAGTTTTTAACTTTTAAAAACTTGGGTTGAGTACGGTGGTTCACACCTGTAGTCCCAGCACTTTGGGAGGCCACGGCAGGTGGATCACCTGAGGTCAAGAGTTCAAGACCCATTGGCGTATTAGTGGCATTGAAAAAAAAAGAAAAAAGAATTCAAGACTAGGCTGGCAAACATGGTGAAACTCCATCTCTACTAAAAATACAAAAATTAGCTAGGCATGATGTTACATGCCGGTAATCCCAGCTACTCAGGAGGCTGCAGCAGGAGAATCACTTGAAACTGAGAGGCAATTGCAGTGAGCCAAGATGGCACCATTGCACTCCAGCCTGGGCAACAAGAATGAGACTCCATCTCAAAAATAAATAAAGTAAAATTAAAATTAAAACTGGGAACTAGTATTATTCCTATTTCCACACCTGTTTTCAACCCAAATCATTTTATTCCATATTGACCTCAGCAAGCTCAACAACACATAACTGGTTGGGCCTTTTTTTTTTTTTTTAAGGTAACTATCAATCAATTTTAAATACAAGATAATTTTCCAAAATGATAAACTTGTACTCATGTATTGATTTACTGAAACCACAGCAATCTGTCAATAACATCAAAGGATCTTAGTTTGAAGATGGTGAAAATAGGGTAATTACAGATTTCTGGATATTGGTCATTTGTCAAATTTTAAAATAAATTTTCACAGACATGGGCAAAAATAGACATAAGGAAGTGTCGTCAACTTCCCTGCAGAGAGAGAACCTCAGAATATTCTCAAAGAGAGAAAGAGAAAAGGAGTGGCCTGCCTGCCCCAGGGCGTACAGCCCCAGAGCTCCACTCTTCCCCAAGAAAATAGGGAATAAATTACATGGCTTCCTTTGATATGGTGGTCAAACAAACTAGGAGGTCTCAGTATAATTAAAATGATCCTTCCTATGAGTTACTTTAAAGAAATAGAAGCAAATGAACTATGCAAAATAAGACTACAGTGAAATAAATATAAGTAGGTGTATTTCTCCAGCTGTTCTAGGTCCTTCATTCACTGCAGTTTGTTTCTTCTCTTCAGAAATAATCTTAACTTTGATAACAAAATACATTTGTGAGTTACCACAAAACATGACCATAAAGGGCTAAAGAGTTACTTTGTCCCTGTGCTTAGCACAGAACTGAAATAATGGTCATAGAACTGTGGGCAATTAATGAAAAATCGGTAATCTTCAACATAAATTCCATTTTTAAAAATGTGAAAAACTGTATGTTCACTGTTCAAACATGCACCCTTTTAGTCAAAATTAATAATTCCATCCATCCTTGCTTCAGTGACACAACAGAGTTCCTATAAACTGCAACCTAAGGTCCCACTGTGTCCTCTCAAATCAAATACAAATGTACTATAGGCAGTTTTTAGACAAGGAATATGATTCCCCCCCCTTAAGTAATAATAATCATCAATAAATACAAACTTAACTTTCATATTTCATTTATTATTATTTTTTTTTTCTGGTAGACAGTACACTTGAGAATTATACTGTACCAGGCATAAAGAGTAAGATTTCTACCACAGGGACATTTTGTATTCAGAATTCAATATAAATATTTCTAGTCAGACATTTCCATGGCTACAGATATTTGGTTCCTTGATTTATATGCATAGAAAGAAACAGTTGTCATAACTGTAAAAAGCAGTACTTAATAAGTACTTTTAAATGATTGGAACAGTTTTCCTTTAATATTACAATACTACTTATTGGTTTGGAAACTAGGTCACCCTACATGATCTTTTGATTTTTCTCAAAGGCATCATGAGTACTCTACTTATTCTTTCATTCTTGTATGTTTAGCCTTCTAGTTGAGTTAGGGACCATTTTATCAGAAATCATTTTAGCACTGTAATAAAAAAAGCTCTGTTAAGGGTAGATTATATACCATAATGATTTTCAGACTTCTTTTTATAAAAAAGGTATCTGGAGACTCTGAACAGGCACATGCATACTCAGGGGGAAGGGAAGAAAACATGGAGGAGTCTGCCAAAGCACAAAACTTCCTTCTGGTCCTCACTGCCTTCAAATAAATACAAATATTTAAAAGAAAAAAAAAAATCTCACACTGTGATTAAAAAAAAAAAAAAATCCATATCTTCCATTTCCTGGAGAGTCTATTTCCAGGAACCCGTGGCAGGGTCGGAGTCAGTCATCCGTCTTCCGGGCTAGCCTACAGAAAGTCCAGTTGTGCTCCACTGTGTTTTCATTGGCCCGCTCACTCATGTGATGTACCCGGGTGTTTCGGATCGTGAAACCTTGTTTTGTAATATATTCCATCAGATGGACCCTAAGAGAAACTTCCTGGTGGTAATCACAGGGTCCAAAAGTAAAGGAAACCTGGCAGTCTCTGGTGTCCATCATGTGCTTATTCCACTTGGTAAAATAATTTGAGATGCCTTCTAGTAAGGAATGGACCTTGGTGGTGATGGTTAGTTGTGTTATAATGACAGCCACTGGGTTGGAGTACTTAGAAAGCTTCCGAGTACTAGACAGCTCCACAACTTCCTCAAAAGTATCCATGGGATACAAAGGCTTAGGATCATTGAGACACTGAATCAAGGGCTCAATCTGGTAAAAATCTGCTTCTTTCCGAAGCAGATCAAATTCCTTAAAATCCAACGGTAAGGTCAACTCTGAAGTTCTTAAGAAGTTGAGGACATATCGGAAAAGAGGTCCATCCCGATCAATAAAGTAATTGCCTTGAGGGTCTCGAGCTGTGGGGAAGTCCCCCCCAAACATAGCTCCAAGCATGGAATCCGGGTAACGCGTCAATGTGGTGAGAGACGTTGTATACAAGTGTCCACCTACATTTAATGTGACTGGGTCAGTCATCTGAAATTTTTAAAGAAATAATCAGTCATCTGAAATTTTTAAATACTAACGTTGACAATTTAAGAAAGTAAGTGAGGCCGGGCACGGTGGCTCACACCTGTAATCCCAGCACTTTGGGAGGCTAAGGCGGGCAGATCACGACGTCAGGAGATCAAGACCATCCTGGCCAACATGATGAAACTCTGTCTCTACTAAAAATACAAAAAAAAATTAGCTGGGGGTGGTGGCGTATGCCTGTAGTCCCAGCTACTCGGGAGGCTGAGGCAGGAGAAACACTTGAACCTGGGAGGTGGAGGTTGCAGTGAGCCAAGATTGCGCCACTGCAAACTCTAGCCTGGCAACGCAGCAAGACTCTGTCTCAAAAAATAAATAAATAAATAAGTGATACTGAGCAAAGCCCAAGATTCTTTCAGGCTATAATGTATTTAGTAATGCTCTAATGCAAAATGACTTTACTTCCTGCAATAAACCCACCCAGATGAAGACATCTGACATTTGCTTTCAATAAAAAAAAAAAAAAAGAAGGATAAATTCAATTCTTTGAAGACTTACTCTAAAAATACAGGGCATGACTTCCAGAGTCACATCATTTCAGGCCCATTATATATAGAGTTTTCAGGTCAGAATATATTGTGGGAAGGAAAAAGCCAAGTTAAAATACACATTTTTTTCTAATTTTTTTTAAAGGCTTGCATTCTTCTGAATTTAATTTAACATAAGATAGAATTAAAATGATCTAATAATATAGATATTTACTTTCAATATTTCTTTGGGTTCCCCCCCTCCCAAACAAAAGAAACAAACTATGAAATTTGTTTTTAAAATAAAAATTGGGGCCGGGTGCAGCGGCTCACACCTATAATCCTAGTACTTTAGGAGGCCAAGGTAGGCAGATAGCCTGAGCTCAGGAGTTCAAGACCAGCCTCAGCAACATGACAAAACCCCGTCTCTATTAAAAATACAAAAAAAAAAAAAAAAAAAAAATTAGCTGGGCATGGTGGTGCATGAGTAGTTCTAGCTACTTGGGAGGCTGAGATATGAGAATCACCTGAACCCAGGAGGCGGAGGCTGCAGTGAGCCAAGATCACACCACTTCATTTCAGCCTGGGTAACACAGAGAGGCTCTGTCTCAGAAAAATAGTAATAAATTAATTTAATTAAATTAAAAATTGTGCAGACCCAATCTTGGTAACTTTTTCATGGAAGTGATAGCTTCAAATACTAAGTTAAAATAGACAGTTAAGTCAATACAACCTAGCCACAAAAGCATCACATACCCAAAGGTTAACAGCAGCCATAAAATTTCATAATCTGATAGTGTATTCACTTTTGTAACATTAATGTTGCAATCTGCCCTTTAATTTTTGAGAAGAAAGCTTCTCTTAAAAAACGAACCTTCAGTTTTAGAAATATTATTTAAGAAAAAGGCTGTGGTTCATGCCTGTAATCCCAGCACTTTGGGAGGCCAAGGTGGGCAGATCACAAGGTCAGGAGTTCAAAACCAGCCTGGCCAATATGGCAAAACCACATCTCTACTAAAGCTACAAAAATTAGCTGGGCATGGTGGTGCACTCCTGTAGTCCCAGCTACTCAGGAGGCTGAGGCAGAAGAATTGTTTGAACCCAGGAGGCGGAGGTTGCAGTGAGCCAACATTGTGCCACTGTACTCCAGCCTATGTGACAAAGTGAGACGCCATCTGAAAAATAAGAAAAAAAATAGACCAGATGTGGTGGTTCACACCTATAATCCCAGCACTTTGGGAGGCCATGGAGGGTAGATCACTTGAGCCCAGGAGTTCCTGACCAGCTTGGGCAACATGACAAAACCCCGTCTCTACAAAAAATACAAACTATGAGCTACGCATGGTGGTGAACACCTGTAGTCTCAGCTACTCGAGAGGCTGAGGTGGGACAATCACCTGAGCTTGTAAAGTGATGAGCCGAGATAGCGTCACTGCGCTCCAGCCTGGGCAAAAGAACAAGACCCTGTCAAAAAAAAGAGAGAAAGAGAGAGAGAGAGAGAGAGAGAGAGAGAGAGAGAGACAGGACTTCAAGTACTAGGCAAGTAAAATATACCTTACATCAAAGGAATAGAAAAATAGGGAGACATATGCACACACACAAAAAATGCAAGTGGGAAAGGAGGCACTCCCAAACCGCAACAAAATATCCTCCATATCATTATTCACTAGATCCTTTTGTAGTCACCACTCATGAAGCGTTTTCAGAGGAATATACTTTAAAAAATAAAAAATCACTTTATCTCTCCAGTGATTATAAAAAGTATTTGGAGAATCAATTTTGAGTTTGCTTCCATTAAAACACCAAAGGCAGGAGGATGGTTTGAGGTCAGGAGTTCAAGACCAGCCTGGCCAAAATGATGAAATCCCATCTCTACTGAAAATACAAAAATTAACTGGATGTGGCGGCACACGCTGGTAATCCCAGCTACTCGGGAGGTTGAGGCAGGACAATCACTTGAACTTGGGAGAGGAGGTTGCAGTGAGCCAAGATCACGCCACTGCACCTCAGCCTGGGCAACAGAGTGAAACTTCACATAAAAAATTTAAAAAAAATTTTTTTAAACACCACACAAGGCCAATGGTGGCTCACACCTATAATCCCAACACTTTGGGAGTCCGCGGCGGGTGGATCACGAAGTCAGGAGATCAAGACCGTTTTGGCCAACACAGTGAAACCCCATCTCTACTAAAAAATACAAAAATTGGCTGGGCGCAGTGGCTCATGCCTGTAATCCTAGCACTTTGGGAGGCCGAGGTGGGTGGATCACCTGAGGTCAGAAGTTCAAGACCAGCCTGGCCATCATGGTGAAACACCATCTTTAAAATAAATAAATAAATAAATTAAATTAAATAAATAAAATTACAAAAATTAGCCAGGTGTGGTGACACGCACCTGTAGTCCCAGCTACATGGAAGGCTGAGCCAGGAGAATTGCTTGAACCCAGGAGGCTGAGACTGCAGTGAGCCGAGATTGCCCCACTGAACTCCAGGCTGGGCAACACAGCAAGACTCTGTCTAAAAAAAAAAAAAACCCCACACAAGACAAAAATGCCCCCCAAATACATCTAACCTAAGTAAAAGGGGGCAGAGAGGTTACACAAATTCACAATTTTCTTTTCTTATAAGATATACCTAAAAATACGTAAGGGTAAAAAGACACAGAAAAATAATTCCCCAGCCTTTAAAATACATCTCCAAGAACCACTCACCATATATCCCCAGTCTCCATTATCCATCTGCTCCAGTGCTGCGTCTTCAGGAGCCCAGGTTTCAGGAAAACTTCAAGAGGAGAAAAACAGACATGATAGCATATATGACTATTAAAATAGAAGAAAGGTTTTTTCCACCCAACAGAGGAGGCCAAACACCAGAAAAACTACTCATCTTTGCTCAGCTGAAACCTACTACAGGGCAAAGATCTGGGAAAGAAAGCATTCCCTTAGGGCCTTCTATGTGTCCTGTATTCTTACCACAGAGAACCCAGCTGGAACCAACAGACTGAAGATTTTCAGAGAAAGAACTATCCTGTACTTAAGAGAAGGAGGAAGAGTCTAGGAAGTAACCCGGTCATTCAAATTCTACCTCTCTTCTTGGAAAATCAATTTTTAGAATTTATGTAAGAGAACATTATGATTAACTCTACAATTTTATCCTGGTACAAACCTATCATGGTCCTTACCAAAAAGGTCATTTAAGAAAAAGGAGAAGGGGAAACCTCTCTTCATCAGCATTTCAGCCATACAAACCAATCATCTGAGTAAAAGCTTCAAAATCATAAACCTCCCAGCATACCAGCATCCCTTTCCAAGAGAAATACATCAGAATGGAGTATTATAATATTAAGAAATATGATGTTTTAAAATAATGATGTATCTCTCTTTATACAATAATTAAAACAAATAGATAGCAATTTAAATGCCAAACTGTTAAGAGCACAATTTGGGACAAAAAGAACCTTATCAATATCGATGAGAGTCAAACAGCCAGCACTCATGGAGAGCCAGCCTTAAGACACTGAGAAATGCTCAGATACTAATGATGCCAATGTGAATTTATTTTTATCTACAATTCAAAAGCACTTAAACACACAGTTTCCCAGCTACTGAACTGCCTTAGTCAATTCCCTCTCACACACTTCAATCCCAAATCAACCTGCAAAGCAAACTGCAGAACAAATTTTAAAAGCTCTGGCAAGAGACGGTAAGAAACATGGACTTATCGGTATTCATACAGGAAAAGCACTGGTTTTTTTTATGTGGTCCTTGAACAGATCCACTTTTCCCACTTTTGGAGGAATCTGGCACAGAATTCCCAGAACAAGCCCTGGTTACAGAAGATCACAAAGGCTCTTTCTCAAAAGGTCACTCAGGCATGTAGAGAACATTTGCATAGCACAGCATGGGCTGAAATCAGAGCCTGAAGCATCTATTTCTCTACCTTGCAAATTCTTCAAAGCACACAAACTAAAACGTGGACCAGGCTCTGGGCAGTCAGTTTTTATTCTTTACACTGAGCAGTTGGATATAGATAGGCCTCCACATGCTAAGGGGCGAGAAATGGAACAAAAGTCAAATTCAAGATTGTTATGGCAGTCTTTCATTCCTCTGACTTGCTTCACAAATAGTATCCAAAGTAAACAGAACCAAGAAATGGGCTTTGCCAATCTGTCTTGCCAGGATCTGATTCAGTTACTGATAACAACAGATTAGTAACTGAGCAATTTAAAAGGCCACTCATCCAAAAGTTCTGGTAAAATGCTCATCTTTGGCATTTTCTCATCATCCAAAGTATTCATTCCTAACAGCCTCAATAATAATTCATTCAGCCAACAATTATTGTGGGTCACCTCTGGAGTGGAGGAGGTACCTATGTGCAACATGGATACACAGAAATAGGAAAAGTACAGTCTTTGCCCTCATGGAGCTTTCCATCTATAATGGAAGGCAACATGCAATGACTGAAGTACAGAACAGAATTCAAAGTGCCATATAACAGATGGACCAAAAGAGGCCCATGAGAGGGGAAAAGCGAGATTCCGAATGGGAAAATGGAGGACTTCTGGGAAGAGCTCACTCAGTTGAATCCTTGAAAGAAAATCTGGACAACCTGAGAAGGGATTCTAGAATGAAGAAACAATTTAACAGACAGGGGTATGAAAGACTTTTTTTCCCCTACAACATTCCTGACACCAGTAGGCAAGCATGGTTTACTATCCTCATCTTAGAGATGCAAAACAGAGAAACAGGGCAGATTAAGTGACTAGCTGAAGGCGTCACAGCTGGGAAGCAACTCGATAAGAACTTGCATGTTCTGACTCTTTTCCGTAAATCCCCTTCTAGGGTAGAAATTGAAAGAACAGAATCCAAGAGACAAGAAATTGAAAAAGATTAACTCTCTAATAGCCATCTATTAACCCTATCCACCCAGTAGGGTTTTATTTACAAATTTTACAGTAACAGCCTAACTAAACAGACACATGGGTTTGTAAAAATTCTCCTGAGCCCTCCCCCAAAAAAGACAGGAACCCACTCAATTAGTGTGAATAATGGCTGCCGTCTTCTGTCTGCAGTGACATAAAGAACTCCAATCCAGGGCCGGGCACAGTGGCTCATGCCTGTAATCCCAGCACTTGGAAGGCCAAGGCCGGTGGATCACGAGGGCAGTTCAAGACGAGCCTGACCAACATGGAGAAACTCCATCTCTATTAAAAATACAAAAATTAGCCGGGTATGGTGGCATGCGCCTGTAGTCCCAACTACTCAGGAGGCTGAGGCAGAAGAATCACTTGGGAGGTGGAGGCTGTAGTGAGCAGAGGTTGTAGTGAGCGGAGATTGCACCACCCAAGCTGGGTGACAGAGCGAGACTCTGTTTCAAAAATAAAGAACTCCAATCCATGAATATCCAAATGATTAAATGAGAAACAAAAGACCAAAGACAAGAAAAAAAGCATACATCAATGTTACAGCTGTTAATGAAAAGTCTGTCTACTATTAATCTTTCTTTTTTACTGTTAAATCAAAATAAGGTAACTTCTTGAGCAGTTATTAAAAAAAGAAAAAAAGAAAGAAAGAAAGAAAATTAGATGATGTCCCTGAATCTGATCCACAGAAAAAGCAAAAGTTCTGGTACAAAGATGTAATGAAACCTCACACTTAATAAATCAGGAAAGCAATTATGGGAATCTATAGCCCACATTTCTTAAAAAGTACCCAAAAGCCTTCCTATACTTGTATATAAGATACATCAAAATAAACTGAAGCAAAGTCACTATTAGTCATTTCCAATAACCATGACTAAACTGTCTAAAGAAATCAAATTGTTCATTAAAGAGTTCAAAGGGCAAAAACAGTATTGATTAGTTTAAATTTTATCTCTACCTGCTTCTAAATATCTTCTGTAGAGCTACTTAGATAGAGCAAGAAACAAATGTTTAAAAAAGCACAAAGAATTCCTTGTTATTCAATAGCTGGATAATAATCAGCTTCTGAATTCTGAATTGATAACCATTAGGAACATCTCTGAAATGATGCAGATGAATGAAAAATAACATAATCCCAAAGAATTTCCAGAATGGTTTCAATCTCTTCTACTAAATCATTTTCCAGAGCTGCTAACAATTAGAAAATGATTCATTTGCTTTTCATCTTCTCTCCCTTCTGGCACAGTCTCCAGTGGAGGGCTTAATGAGAAGTTAAATGACAAGATAGGCAGCAGAAGGAAGATCTTGAAATGGGCATCAAATAGGCCTGTTTTACTAGATGAAGGCAAAAGAAATATCTAATATTTCAGAAAATCTGCCAGAAATGATAACAATAAAAAATGAAAAAAACTTTCCTTTACAGTGACTTTCTTTACTAAAACTAATGATGGTTTTGAAAGACGGCAAACGCAACCAAGCACAAACAGCTATAAAGTTCAAAGAAGTCTCTGACTCTGTAAAATCAGTTCACCTGAAAAGATTTAACCTTTGATGCAAATAAAATTCTTGTGAAAACACCACCGACCATTCGCCAAAGAATATAAAGCAGTGCTGAAAATTCACCCATGTTTAAGCCTCAAAGTTATTGTGACTAATGTATAAATTCTGACAGTGTCATGTTAGCAGGTAATTAAGCTTAAGAAAACACAAACTGAAGAATTTATAGAAGCCTTAAAAGAAAGTATTAATTTTCTAAAGTAGCATATCTGAAGAATACATAATTCAATAAGTTAATAGGTTAAAAAGTAACCTAAGAACCCTTAAATGCAACTCTCTGTACCACTGTAGAACTGCAATTACAGGCTTAATGGTTATGATGAACTAACTTAAAAATATTCTGGGTTTATCATTTCTGCTATATAGACTAAGAATTCTCCAGGGCAAAAGTCCTAATCCTATATAACAACTTATATATTGCAATATAAACCTCCAAACTTCAATGAATAATAAAAACCTCCAACTACTACCTTCCCAGTTTCCAGGCAGCCCTTTAAAATGCTTTTCTACTGAAACCTTTTTGTGTCTGGCATTCAGAAAAGACTCAATAAACTCCCTCTTTCTATACTTACCTTCAAAATTGCCTTTGTACTGAGTTTTGCTCTTCTCGAAATGTGGGAGTTTGAAAGTAAAATACTTTTTATAGCCGGCGTCCCCAAACTACGGCCTGCAGGCCGCATGCGGCCCCCTGAGGCCATTTATCCGGCCCCCCGCCACACTTCAGGAAGGGGCACCTCTTTCACTGGTGGTCAGTGAGAGGAGTACAGTATGTGGCGGCCCTCCAACGGTCTGAGGGACAGTGAACTGGCCCCCTGTGTAAAAAGTTTGGGGACACCTGTTTTCTAGGAACTAGTTCAGTAACATCTCAAGGAGTCTTTGGGGTTAACAGTCACACACAGGCCAGCACAAGTAGCCAGGCATACAAGGATAATGTGATTACGGTGTTAGATTATCCTTAACCATATGACTGCAGGAAAAGTAATCATTTTCTCTTTCTCCCCTCAACCATGTGGTCTAGAAGAGAGGAGCTACAGGTTGAAAAGTGACCTAAAATTTAAAAAAACTGTCATAAATAGTCACAAAATCGTAACACTCCTCTTAACTCTCTGTTTCCACAAGAAAAAAACAGGATAATGCCACCTTCTCAAAAGTAATTACACCATTTAGGCACAAAAGAAAGGCAAAAATTGGCCTCTAAGAGTAACACATCAATACAGAGAAGAGAACAGTTCCCTGGGAGGTCCTGTAGTCGAATTCTGCTCCATTACTGATTATGAGACCCTGAGAAAAATCACTCTTTATGCCCAACTTCTTCTTTGGGGAAATGGAGAAAAAAAGTGAAATCATGAATATAAAACCATCTGCAAATTGGCAAGTATTAAACAAATATGGAAACACTAATGGCGGCAGCATAAACAAAATTTCTATGTTAACATGAGAAACCTGAGTGTGAACACAAGTAATTTAGAGCACTGGCCTGGAGACAGGGCAAATATGGAGGAGGCAGCCTCTTAATTTGCTTCAGATCTCCCCAGGTGCTCCTTTTCCCAGAGCTCCAGAAGGGAGAAGTACATACAGGTAAAGGGAAGTGCCTAGCTTCTCCAGAGATCACCAGACATCTGAGCTCTTGATCTCAGAAGGAACTTCTTTAAAGCATGACTCAGGATTATCTCCAAGGTAACGCTGAATCCAAGTAAATACATGTACTCCATTTTAAATGGACCCCAAATATCAAAATCCAAACACACTGACGGATTCATAGGGTTCACCCTAAGAGTCCTTTAAGTAGTGATACTTGGGTTAAAATGTGATTTATGAAAATTCAAATCACAAAACTTAGGAATAGCATCCATGACTACCCTGACCACTGCATCCTTCATATCTAACGCAAAGCACAAAATCAAGTATCAATATGGACTGATGGTTTTCGGCCAAAGAGAAAATTCTCTCAACCTACCAACGCTGCTGACAAAAACGGTTTCCTTTTCCTAGCTACACATTTGTTCATTTGAAAACGTCTCAATCTTGGGCTCAGGACTGTGTCACATGCTGTCCTCAAGCTTCTTTCCTATCCCAAGATGATTCAAGTAATAGGGCATTTGTGACAGCGAAAAAAAGAACATGCCAGGGGGATATGGAGATACTTGGGCCACTCCAAATCTGCTTAGCCGAGCCGGGTCATCCCAGGCCACTCTGCCACCCAAGCCTCCTTTAACACAAAGTCCTAAAATTGGATCCATCAACTTGTTCTAGAACTGGTATACTTGAACAGAAACGTGGTAACTTCAGCAGAATATCCAAACAGGATCTCTGTCACGTTTCATTTCCCCGTCCCACCCCCAGACACAGCCTCCACCACTGTCAGCCCAGCAGGTGCTGCAGGGGCTCCCCATGACCACGGTCATTTATCACATCTGACACCAAGCATTAAAAATGCCACCACACACACAAATCTAAGCATAAAGAACTCAGCTGCAATCTGAGTGTCTCTTCAGGGCAGAAAATCCCACAGGCAGGGTTCTGAGCCCTGCCGCACGCTTTAAACTAGGGCAATTGGTGGCTAATAAGCGCCATCTCCCAAAATCAATCATTTTCGAGCACACCCCGAATGTCCCCGTCTGGGCTGCGCTTCGCTGCTGCCCCGCCAGCACAGCCCCGGCAACCTGACCCTGCCAGGGGCAGGGCGGGCGATGCTCCGGGCCCGGACGAGGGGCGCGCCGAAATCGCGCGTTCCCGCCGGGCGGGCCCCGGAACCCCCGCCCAGGCCCGGCCGCGGGCACCTCCGCCGCGGGCTCGTGCCAGCCCCTGGACGCGCGGTCCCCTCAGCGCGGCCCCGCCGCCGCCCGGTTCCGGGCTTCCCCGGCCAGATCCTCCTCAGCCCCGCTCCCCTGGCCGCTCGGCTCAGGCACCCCCGAAAACCCGGCCCTCCCAAGCCCCGGCCCCGCAAGCCCAGCGCCAGCCCCACTCACTGCGCGGCGGCGGCGGCGGCGGCGGCGGCGGCCAGGCCGGGAGCTGCCCGCGGCCGGAGAGCGCGAGCGCGGGGACGAGCGAGCCCGCGCCCGGCGACGGCGGTGGCGGCGGCGGCAGAGGGGACGACTGAGCCCGCGCCCGGAGTTGCGGCTCCAGCTGCCCGGCGCGGGCGGCGCCTTCCCAACAGAGCCGCGGCGCCACGAGAGCGGGCGCCCCCTAACGGCGGCGCGGGCGGCAAGCCAAAGGGACCGGCTGCCTGAGGAACTCAGCGAGCGCACCCGGAGCCGCGCGGTTAAGACCACACTACCGCAGCCCCAAAGCCCCGCCCCGAAGCCCCAGTCCAGTCCCCTAGGCTCCGCCCCGAAACCCCGCCCCTACGTCCAGCCTCCGCCTCCAGCCCGGGGTCCGCCCAGCCCCATGCCCACGGCGTCCTCAGGCTGGTGTCTGTACAGCTGTTTCTCCTCAATCATTTCACGAAATTGTATGGGGTCCCACTAATCTCAGGCCTGGGGGTTTAGGAGATATAGCGCCCACCAAGACGGAGGAGGGTCCTAATGGAAGGACAAGACAGACAAGACTCAAGGAAACAGCTGGTAGAGAAAATAATGACAGGTTATGATCGTAAGTGTTGGAAGGGGAATGATTCGAGGACTTAGATGGAGCAGAAGGGAAGGGTGATCCTGCTTCAAACGCAGTGGCCAAGGAAGAGCTGGGCCCGGACCTGCGGCCAGAGCCCCTCCTGCATGCCCTGCATTGAGGAGACCACCCTGCGATGAGGGCTGTGAGGACGCCTCCGGAGCCACTCATCCGGCTTGGAGGGCAGAACAGCAAAGAGCAGCTGGGCCCAGAGGCTCAGCAATATGGGCAGCCAAGTGGAGAGGAGGGCCCAGCCACCTCCGCAGACAAAGCGACCCACGCAAAGGCTCTGGGGCCTGCAGGAGCTCCGCGCTAGACGAGGCTGTCACCGGTATTGTCCCCACTTCACCAGGAAGGAGGCCAAGGCTGCAGAGGATGGGCAGCTCCTAAGGCCTCAGGGCTCATTGGTCTCCATGCGTCCACTTGTTCCAAGTCCCATTCGCTTCCTGCTAGCCAGGTCGCTGTCCCCTTCCGGTGAAGCCAGTTCCCTGACGGTGGGTTTGCTGTTTCCGCTTCTCCATCGGAATAACCACTGGCCTTAGAAACTCACTTGGGTTTCGCATCTGCATGTGTGTGAGCTGGCTCTGGGGCTGAAATTGTATCCGCATCATCACCACAGTCATATTTGATACTTGATTTTTCTCCAAAAGCTCAAATTGATAGGTTAAATAAATGACATATGCTTCATCAATGTAACTGAGTGCTACATTATCAACTTCACAAAGACTAGATGAGAATACAGGGAAATGTGTGTGAAAATGATCAGTACACAAACTACTATACATGAAATAATCCTGATTTTATTTTTTAAAACAAATATACAGAGACAAAAATTTTGAAGGAAATACATCAAACCATTGATCATCATGTTCAAGATAATAGTATGGGAATATCAATAACATTGCTTCTTAATGTTCTTCTGAATTTTCATGAATATTGAATTTATAATCAGAACACATGAGTATTGAATTTATAATCCGAAAAATACAATGAGTTTTGGTTTGTTTTTTCTTTTCTTTCTTTCTTTTTTTTTTTTTTACCCCACCCCACCCCACTGCACTTTAGGTTTTGTTGGTTTTTCATTTGTTTGTTTTTTAAAATAGGAGGACAATGCCACAATTACTCAATACTCAGATCCCCAGAATTTGGTGCCACTGAAAATCCAGAATTGTCTCTGACTTACTGAGTGTCCTTGAAAGAGTCATTTCCCCTCTCAGGGCTTCTATCCCCCAAATAAAAACTGATGGATTAATTCTGTTGGTGTTTTTGTCAGACTTAGTCCTTCCTATCCCATTTTTAGAACTATTGTTAATTGTACTTTCAAATTTTTATTTTATAATTGACAGATGGCTATTGAAATGCAGTTGGTTTTTTTGTCATCTTATAGCCAGCAAAATTGAACTCTTTTTCAGTTCTATTAAGTTTGTAGGTTCTCTTGAATTCACTGTGCAAATAATCATGGAGTCTGTAAGTCATGACAGTGAAGTATCTTCCTGTCCTTTCTTTCCTTTTTCTTGCTGTGCTGTGGTGACTAAATTCTCCCACACAATGTTGAAGAGCGTGATGGTATGGCCACTTCTATCCTGGTTTTGACTGCTTCTAACATATCACTGTTAACTGCAGTGTTTGTTGTGGATTTTTTGATAGACAGTCTTTATGAGGGTTAGGAAGCACTATTCTTCTTTACTACGAATGGGTGCTCAATTTTATCAATGTGAGATTCCCCCCATTGCAATGTAATGAATTACATGGATCATATTATATTGTATTAAATAAGATATATTATTATATCTTATGATATTAAGCCAGTCATGTATTCCCAGGATAAACTCGCCTTGATGATATATTTTTTAAGTCAATATATTTTTGTTCAAGGAATTTCACGTCTTGATGTATTACTTTTTCAATATTCTGCTAGATTCCATTTGCTAATTATTTTATTTAGGGTCTTCGCGTCCATATGAATGACTGAGATACGCTATTATTTTCCATTCTTATTCTTTCCTCATCTGGCTTTGCTATCAAAGTTCCATGAGCCTCATAACATACCTGAGTGTCTATTCACTAGATTGAGATTTTCTGTAGTTTGAGTGTTCTATAGGCGTCTCCTGCAAACCATCTGGATCTGTTGGTTTCGGGGATTGAGGGTGGAAAGGGTTTACATTGGAAGCTGTTTCTGTCCAACACCATCCCCTCTTCTCCATGTGCCCCAGTCTATGGACTGGCTCAGCCACCTCCATCAATTCCATTACTGTGTCTGAGTTGAAGGCTTCCAAACCCGTGACTCCAGCCCAGCGCTTTCTCCTGAATCCAGAGCTATAGATTTCACCTACTCTATAGCCCCAACTCTGTGCAAGGCACTGTGCCAGGTGCTTTTACCCTCTGTATCAGTTACCTTTTGCCCCATACTGCTCAGGGTTGCAAGCCTGCACGGGAAAGCTGGCTTCCGGCTTACAGCTGCCCCTAGCCCTCTGCACCTTTCTTTTCCAGGTGGCCACCAAGTATCCAGGCTCCTGTGGTAAAGAGACTGATCCTGGTCTGCCCTAGGCTAGGCTGGCCTGGAGGAGGCTGTTCATTATCAGAGCTACACCTGTTACAGGAAGGAACCAAGCCCAGTACAGTGCTGGGAGGGCAAAGGGGGACCAGCAATTGACAAAACTGATCTGTAGGAATGAAGCCTGGAGTTCTGAGTCCCCTCCCTCTCTCCCTCCTTCCTCTCCCAACTCTCACTGCCTAGTGCACCTCACCTCCTGCTTGTCAGGAAAATCTTTCTCCTTCAGTGGGAGCTCCCTGGACCCCTCCTTCTTCTGTAGCTCCTCCTCTTAGACTTATAGAGATGCTCCTCTTGCTTGACCCTGGACACTTATGCCCAAGTTTCTGTCCAACACTTTCCCCTCCTCTCCATGTGCCCCTCTCCGTGGACCGGCTCAGCCACCTCCATCAATTCCATTACTGTGTCTGAGCCGAAGGCCTCCAAACCCGTGACTCCAGCCCAGCCCTCTCTCTTACCCAGAGCTGTAGATCTCACCTATTCTATAGCCCCAACTCTGTGCAAGGCTTTTACCCTCTGCATCAGCTACCCTTTGCCACATAACAAATAGTCCCAAATGGTGGGGTTTTAAACTTCCACGTTCTATCCCCTCAGTTTCTGTGGGTCAGAAACTTGGAAGCAGCTCAGGGTCTGACAGGAGCTTGCAGTCCTGATGGCGGTAGGGGCTGTAGTCATCTGAAGCCTGGGGACTTCGCTCCCAAACTCACTCACGTAGCGTTCAGCACAAGGCATTCATTCCTCATCATGAGAGTCTCTCCTGCCAATATGGCAGCTGACATCCCCCAGAGCAAGTGACCAAGAGAGAGCAAGGTAGAAGCCACAATGTCGTTTATAACCCAGCCTCAAAAGCAACACATGTTATTATGATCCTACAGATCAACCATACTATCGTGTGGGAGGGCACCACAAGGCAGAAACCAGGAGATTGTGGCCACACCCTCATGGCAGCTCTGGGGGCAGAGTACCCCACCCCACGGGACAGATAAGAACGGGAAGGCACAGAGAGGTGAAGTTATTGATCCAGGCTACATGGCTAAGGGTGGGAGGAGAGAGTGGAACGTGGCTCTGCCGGCTTCCCCCAGTTTCCTCCTCCCACAGCCCATCGACCCCGGGTCCACCACCAGCCTCCTCACCCTCAGCATGTACAAACCTGAACTCTCCGCACCACCCCTAAACCTCCCAAGTCCCCAGCTCAGCTCGGCAAATGGCGTCTCCGTCCTCCCATCTGCCCAGACCAGAAGCTTTGAGTCATGCCTGCTCCTCCCTCCCCCTCACTTCCCAGTGCCAGAGAGCCCAGCCCTGCCAAGTCTTCCCCCTCAGTCAGTCTGGATCCATCTCTCCTTCTCCCTCTTCATCTCCAACACCACCAAGCGAGGCCAAGCCACCAACGTGTCCATCCCGGGCACCTGCAGCAGCCCCTCTTCCTGGTATTCCCCATTCCCTCTGCCCCTACACTGCCCATCCGTCCTCCCCTCTCCAGCACGAGTCAGCTCTAAGAACACAAAGCTGTGTGTCACCCTCCTGCTTTACACTCCTTCTGTGGCACCCACTGCCTTCAGGATCCAGTTCAAACTCCCTCCAGTGTAGTCTGGCCCCTGCCCACTGGTCCTTCCCTCTCCCCTCTTCTCACTGTCTGGGCTCAGCCTCTCTGCCCACATTTCAGCTCCTGGGACCCACTGCTCATCTTTTCACTTCAAGGCCTTCCATGTACTGTTCCCTTGACCTAGATCTCTCTTTCCCCACCCCTTATCATGCCTGACTCCTCCTCCTCAGCATGTTGTCACCTCATCAGGGAGGTCTTCCCTGACCTCCCAGCAAGGCTGAGTTCCCCCAGCTAAAACCTCCACAGTGCCTGTCCTTCCCTCTCTCCACCTCCCTGCTTCTCAGCTGGACTGTGAGCTTCCTGAGGGCAGACGCTCTGTCCCACCGGCTCATAACTGCACCCTAGAACTTCACCTGGTACCCAGCACTTAGCACATACTCAACAGCCATGTGCCAGTTCAGTGCGTTCTCTGCACTGCCTCCTGCCCCCTTGCGCTCCATACTCCAGCACCTGAACAATGTTCCTTTCCTTAGCTGAATTACGGGATCTCTGACCTCCAGATGTTC